CTTTTCATGATGCGTTTTACATTCGTTTCACATTGGCCACCTCGAAAGGGAACGTTTTCCCGCTAGCAACCCCCTTTGAGGCTCAGCCTCAACACTCTTAGGGGCCGATCTCAGTTGGGAAAATCAAAGGCTTTGGCTTTCCCTAGTCCCTACAGTCGGGGTCCTGATGGATTCTGGGGCGCTCCAAGAACAGTGGAAACGCGTGATTCTTCCAAACCACTGCCTATGAGACGCAACTGATGCAACGAGTGGAATGCTGCCGGACTTCCCTGGCAACCCTGCTGTGTAGCCCAAGCTCGCAGCTGCCGCTGTTTAAACACAGGACTGTCAATCTGAAAGATCTTTTTGCCATTCACCTGATGGCCTGCCTGTAGTACTCACAGTGGCATGTTGAAGGGCCCCCATCCAAGGGAGTACCATGGAGTACCCAGCCAAAATGAGCTTTAGTGATCAACACTGGTCTGTCTTGAAGACCACCAATCGCGCAGCCGATCGCTGGGGTCACCACTGAAGGCTCGTAGCCTCGAGGAGATACAAACAAAAATGCTGATTTGTATTCAAGCATACTCACACACGTACACAAATGCACAAGTACACTTTTATGTGCAAACATACGCACATACACACATCTTACATATATATATATATACAATGCAGAATACGCACCACAAACACAGACACACACAATGATATTCAGCATAAGAGACAGTGTTCAAGGCCCAGTCAGGACTGGGCTGATGGATCAACAGTGGATGAGATTGCAATGCAAAGGTGGCTCTTGGCCTCAAAAGTTCATGGACGTTCCCCCCCAGTGTAGACCTTCTCAGCCTGCTTTGGTGCCGAATCTAGACGGTTTAAGCTTAAGCTGGCAACTCTCCCCGTAGAGTTGCACAGGTTTCCCAATATCACCCCCTGAACACAGGGGAACTCATCTTAAATCGCCCACAAAAGTGGTGCTTGACAGCACCAAAGGCAAGATGTAGGCACCCCGTTGCATGAGGGCTTGAGGTTCCCGTCACCGTGTAAGATGCTGTGGCACCTGTCACAAGCTGTTGGCACCACGACTTGACAGAAACACAACCTCCAGAAGAGAGAAGGCAATAGGACCGTCTTGGGAGATCCGCAAAGCCCAGGACAACAAGGGGAAGCTACCTGGAGTCACCGGCAAAAACAAAAAACAAAAACTGGAACCCCGAAAGCCGCCGGAGTGCCGCCGAGCTGCGCGGCCCAAGCGTTGCAAACAACGAGGGCGTGCATAGGAGGTGGGTGGCCTGGCGCCGAGATTGGAAGCTGAAAGGTTCGCCATCCTTCCTAGAGCTTGGCCCTTTTGACCCAAAGAGCCTACCCCCAGACCCAAGCTTCACAGGTCCCTTGAGGAAAACGGGCCATGGCTGGGAGGGTACTAGGGGTGGACAAAACCGGCTTCGCACATACCCACAGTAGGGTCTAGAATAATCTAGAATCCATGGCTGATGACCATCCCTACCAGCCCCAAGTAAAAGGTCGTTTGAGTCGGCACAACGGTAGAAATTGGGCCCTGATGATCTGACAAATTAACGGAGACCAAACAAATGTCCTACCCAAACGTGGTTTGGAAAAAGTGTATCTGGCGAGCCTCAAACATGTTTCGTGTTTGTTCCCTTATTTTTGTTGGAGTCAAAATGTTGATCAAAATAATGAACTTGCAGGGCCTTGGCCGAAATGCAGCAGACACCCGCTCCAAACAGTTCAGTTTGACCAATGCAGCGGGCCCTAGCCCTGGAGATGTGCCCATTGCGATGAGCTCTGATGGCTTGATTAAATGGCCACGGCCACAAAAGAACTCAGTCCATTCTGCGCTTCGCAAATGATAGGATTAGCCGGTGAATTGCAATGTCCATTTCTTAACAGACCTCGGATCAGCGAACCCCCCCAACCAGAAGACGTGAGCAAGCAAGTGACGCCCAAGAAAGACATGTTCATCCTGGTCGCAAAGCATCCTTTGAAAGGCCCAGACTTGATGTCAGAATGACATAGTGCGTAAGAAAAGGAGTGGATCACACTCCAGCGAAGCAGATTTAAGGTTTCCACAACAAGAATACAAGGTACAGAAGGAACTGTTGGCGTTACGTGCTGCAATTGAGTTGTGGCAAATTGCTCTGATCAGAAATCTACCCTTTGGCCAAATTGTCAAGGCTTGGAACAATCCTGCTTTATGTCGCAAGTTCAGTAACGAAACATATCCAACAAGACACCGGCGATTCGGTCACTCAGAAGAGCCATGGTACTGCTGAGACTCTGATGGCTCACGAACGGAAGTTAGTTTTCGCCCAGGCATTCATACAAAGCAAGCCCGATGTAAAGCAAATGCGAGCAGCTCCCCAAACCGATTGACTTTGGGCTCCACCGACATGGTTACAAAGGATTGCAGAGGCCTTGCTCTAAAGCACATGAAGCCGTGTAGTAGACGAACAAGCAAAACAACAGGAAGCTTGGGCGCCGAATCCAATCCCATCTGGCGATGTTCGCTGCAGTCCCTTTGCGGTTGCAACCTGGGAAAAGATTCTACCCAACACCAGACTGGCCCTATTCTCCATCCGATCCCAGCTCCGGGTTGAAATCCTGAGACAACTAGACACCAAGGGGTCTCAAGGGCGCTTCCATGGAAGCAGGAACCTGCAGACCTCCAAAAGCGTCTGCAAAACACAAGGTTGTTGGTCAGTTTGATTTCATAAACAAAGCAAATGGCACAATTCCTTTGATGTGGGTGAGTAGAAAGGCTCTTACATCCTCGATGCAGGAACTGTGCCCTGTATCTGCTAAAAGCGGGGGAGCCACAAACATTGAAAAGGCCAAAGTCGGAGCAGGCAATCATTCCATTCCCAGGAGAAAAATGCACCTTTTACGCCAGAAAACCCTTGAAGGCTTTAAATGGCCATGAGTCTTTCTTCACTGTTTGATCCTCAGAGGATTTAATTCAGACCCTGCTGGGGCGACCGGTCGCTCCTGGGAGTTTTCCAGCAGAGGCCCGAGATTCTGGAGGAAATCCGAACCTGAGCTCCGAGCGTTGCTTCCCCCGTCTTGTTCATCCAGCGTCTCCTAAAACGGTCTTCTCAAAAGCAACAAGTCCACGAACTCAGGGATTCCCCAGCCTGTTCACCCAGCGTTCTTTTCAGAAACCACCCATGCGCCTTAGATTTGGGGCTTTGGGGAAGCAGCAAGGGCTACACCCACCCCCAGTTGTTGATACTCAGATCTGCACAGACCGAGGGATGTCCTTGTTGAAATTAGGTATGCGTGACAGGTTTAGCAAGCTCTCTCGGAATCTTGACAAGGCAATGCGCATGCATACCATGTTGCCTCCTTTCAGGATGGAGTGGGAATGACCCCTTCCAAACACAAGCCAATCCCTGTGGAGAATGGGTGGTGAATGCTTCCCATACTATCTTGTCAGAACAAGCAATCACAGCAACATCCGGGTTTCAAAGGGATTCAAGGTGGATTGTCCCTGCTCACACCAGAAGGCTGAGCCTGTATGCGCTAGCATCAAATGCTTCAAACTGGTTTTATCTTCCAATGTACTTGCCAAAAGGTCGCAAAACGAAGCTGGGAGAAGCTCACTGAAGCCAATTTCTGATCTCATTGCAGTGTCCTTTAGGGGAAATCAAAACACTCATGACTCATGGGTGATAAACAACTGTTACATTGTAGAGGGGGGGTGTATCCACGTCGTGTCAGCCATGGCTGGTGCTTGTTTTTTGAAACAGATTTACTAACACAATTCAAGCCTTGGATGTCTATCGTCGATCTCGACTGTGACCCAAGAGCAACATCTCTGGACGAGATCTCGAAACCGGACTATAAGTCTATAAGCCTAAGACCTGAGACCCGAGCTCGGCTTTGAAGTGGCACCGAGCCGAAGCCCACGCCCAAAGGACTCTTTGGAGGAATCGGGATGTACATGTCTAAAGCAGCACCGTTTGTGACCAAACGCCACAGGGCAGTTCAACTGTACAGAGTCCTCTGCCTAGTCAACTGTTCAAAGCTCGACCTAAGCAGTGCAGAGGCATTCTGTACAAAAGCTCCGCACTAACAGCATGTGCCACGTGCAAGTACCAACTGGGCCCATGCAACAAGCAAATATCTGAACACACTGCACCATAAAGCAAAATCCGTGCCAGCATGTGCCAGCACGCGAAAGCTGGACCGAGAGACAAACATAGCTCGACTGGAAGCATCGAACAAAAGACACCGCTGAATGCACCGGCCCAGTTTCCTTTCACCGATGTTGCGCAGTGAGATGGTTTGCAGTGCTCATCGTGGGCACGTTACACAGCAAGGAAATGGCTCGCGACCGTTGCCGTTAATCCAGGTGACTCATGATTGAACACAAACAAACAGTTACACAACCAAAGCAGCATATTGACTCCCAACTCGAGTCATCATTCTTTGCCAGTGTATGCTCTGCGCGTGCGCAGGTACACGACATATCGATTCTGCTGTGTGGTTTGATCGTGACAGGTAAAACACCCTATCACAATTCCTACTCCGCTGTGGTCGCAAGCATCACCCACTCAAGGCATGACATGCCCTTTGAATTGGCAACCAATGAAATGAAACAAAACGTCAACGTGGACATGCGACAAACCCTGCTGGATGTCCTTGAGAGCATGCCCAACAAACAAGTTTGCGTACCGCTAAAATACACATTACTCAAGAAGTTGCCACACCAGTATGTAAACAATGAATCCGCGTCAATTGTCTGGTTGTCACTGACTGTCCCATACCCTTCATCTAGAAGAACCGGCTTTTGCTTGTGCCTCAAGTGGGGAAGGAACCTGCGGTTGGTCGCACAAAAGATCAAGACAAATATGTCTCATCATTCGTCGCATCCCCAAAACTTGAGCCCGTAAGAATACTGCTTCAATCAATTATGTTAATTGTTGCCGTTTTGGGCACCTCTTGAACTGTCCACTCGGGACCTGGAAGTAAGCATCGCGTCGAGCACATGTCCTGCGCGTTCAGCCCAGGCCGCTCAGTCGCACCAGGCTGGGAGCAGGCGTGCTCATGGCCTCGTCCAAGGCCTGCAGCTTTCAGCGGACCCTTCAAATTGGCCCAACAAGTGATGTCAAAATACCATAAAAAGGGGTAATATGAATATGGAGAACTCTGAGTGGCCTTCTATCTCATAGCATGTGGGTCTGGTTCTTTGTTGTTGAGGGTAAGCTTTTCATCTTGGTTCAAAAGTAGGGACAAAACCCAAGACCCCCCCAACTCGTTTTGGAAAGGTTCGGAAGGAACCTTCTCAGAAGATCGCAGAGGGGTTCTTTGAAGGGTTCTGAGAACCTTTCTCTTCAAAAGGGAAACCAAAAGGGAAACAACAGTTTTGCGGGTACCACATATCCAAGTGACGCAAACCTCCTTTCAACCTTTCCAACTTTCCAGCTTCGTTCGAACATGTCGTGCGCTTCGCTCGGCTTAATGTGGGGGGGCAGCTCCCGTGTAACGCGGTCATCTGGTCGGCAAGACAGAGCGTGGTGCCTTGGTTCAAGGTCGAGAGGTACTGCTTGAACGGCGCAGTCCTGGATTCGCCTTTGGCTGTGTCATAGCCAGCAATACTGACGCTCGGCTTGGCGCCTGCACGTGATGCTGCATCCAGCAGATGTCTTCTCGGAGCATGCAAAGCCATGTTCCGGCCAAGGAACTTCCTCACTGAGGCACTAAACCTCCGTGGGGCACTTGAAATGAAAGGAAACCCCCCTCCAAAAAAAGTTTGTTACCATTGGGTTTGGGCTCTGCAAACTGCGAGAAGCTGAAAGAGACCCAACACCTCCAAGACAAACTCACCCACACGCACTCACCCACCCCGACGACCCCGCACCCCAGAACAAAGGAAAAAGGAAGCAACTGGAGGTATGTTTCTTCATTTCACGGGTGTGGAAAGTCTCCCAATCTGCGTCTGTGTCATGCGCTGTGCGCTTCCATTTCCTGTCTGGGCAGTGCGTCCTGTTGTGCGAAATTGAGAGTTCTTACCCCATGCCCATCCCAAATGAACCATGGACTACCACTCATTTTGTCAGCTGCTCGTGTGCTTGTGATGGGCTCCTTGAGAAGATGGCCAAAAACTAACCTGGTGTCATCCTCCACATTCAAAATCCTTTCCCCAACACGGCCCACTACAGGAAACCTGCTGATGTGTCTATCGGTTCGGGCCAGGGTCTGACAAAGGGGACAAATTCCTCTGGGAATTCGCCAAAAAAACACCCCTTAGCCTTTTGACAGGCTCTCCATATCAGAATCACTTGCCACCAACACAGAGCCTGACTTTGCATTTACACACAACAACAAATGTTTGAAAAACACCGAAGGGAACCAAACAGCTTAAAAACCCTTTGGCCCACTGGTCTCAGGTTGATTACTTTGACGCCTTCATGCCAATCGCCTCCCGCCTTGAGATACCTTGCGGGCATGTGGGCGGATGCCATGTCCGAGGAGATCAAAAGCTCGTCCATATCGCTCTGCGAACCTCGAAACATGCTCGCAAAACCCACACCAAGAAACATCAAATGAGAGGGGGGAAACCACAAGGTGCAACCTAGGTGCGAAGTTAAATTGCAGCAAAGGCCCCCCTGCCAAAACTCCAACTTGTTGCATGTAAATCATGGACGCCGAACATGTAACAGGGCGAAAACTAGAAGCAAAGTTTGGCGAGGGATACTTGAAGATCAATATCTATATATATATATATCGGGTTTTTGTTGCGCAACCAGCGGTGACAACACCTAACTTGCCATAGGTGTGTAAGCATAACCTACCCTGGTCTTGCATACAAGAGTTTGTATGGCCGTCCCAAATCATTGATTATACATTCGTACCCAGCTGGGGAAACTAGTATAATTTCATTCGGAATTAAGGGATTGCCTAGTAATGGACCTTCATCGTGGGGCACATCGTTGATCGGCGTCCTTGTTGAAATATGCCCAAACCCGTCCCTTGAAGCGCTGGGCATTTTTGAGACCAGAATGTGAGGCTCAGAAACTGTGGAGGCGGCACCCACAAGCCCTAGGTGGAGGGGGCAACAAGGCCATCTAACCGGAGATGCAGCGAAGGCGCCTTGCCCGGTTTGTTGGTCATTTGACTCCTTGGGCAAATAATGAATCGGACCGCCCTACAAATGTAGAAACCCGCTTTGACGTGGTCATTGTCTTTCCACATATTTTGAACAACTGAGTTGAGGGCTTTGGTAGACTACTTTCCTGTTGGGAGGCCCCAAACCGTCCATTTTCATTGGAAGGGGGGTCTACCCTTGCCCCTTAGCAACAAGAACCTCCGACTTCCGTCAGGGCTATATCTGTGAAGCGACAGCCCAGTGCCTTGAATGCGCCTTTTCCAAATTCTTAAATTCCTCCCCTGATCAACATGAAACCCAAAAACCAATCGTTTTTAGAGGAATCTCCTTTTGAGGGATCCCTTTTGGGTTCCATGTTCATCTGGGGACAGAACCACATGTCTCAAAGATCAGCCAGTCTTGTCCCCAACCCCCCATGGCAAAAAAGGGCACCTCTTGTCGCTGATTTAAAAGGGTTCCCCCCCCTCTTAAAATAAAAGAGCCACCTGACTGGGTTGACCCTTCCCAGGCTCTGCCTTCCAGCGGCACGTAGACCGGGTCCTGCTCTGTGAGCGCCTGAAAGATCAAACCCACACATGCGCAAGTCTCAAAACTAGGGGGTCCCCAGAAATGGTTTCGTGTCCTGTTGGTTTTCCTTTACCCAAAAGAGGCAGTGCAAGGAAGAAAGCACAGCAATCCGCTTTCGCTTCGCTTCCCATGTTGGAACAATTGAACACTCATCCAGTGGTCAATCCTTTACTGCAAGGAATTGGTTACCGAAAATGGTCGAACCAAAACAAGGCACAGTTCATCCATTTGGCAGGTTCCTAGTTGAAATGCAACCTTGGTGGCCAAACAACACCCCTGCACAACCCTTTGGCGTGCCAACATTCAATTTCTTGCTTCTTCATCCACGCACCAAGTCTGGCTCTCGAGAGCAGCTTGGATGTGACTCACTTATCATGATTGGCATGCTCATGCCAAGCGCAATCACAGGGGATGCCTCATCTCCGGCATGCGTTGGAATTGCGCACACCAAGCGGCAATGAAACTTGAATTTCTAAATGGGTTGCCCCTCTGATATCTTCTGTTTGTTATTGAAACAAGCAACAGTGTCAGAAGAAAGCAGCCCCCTTGCGAACGGCTAAGAGCACCGAAGCTGCACACCGCAATCGCAACCGGATGCGAAATACACGGGGCTGGGACCCTAAAACGAACATCGAGCCGCCCGCACCGCCTTTCTCAGCACCACCAGGCGACCAGCAGGGAAGAGCCTAGGCACACGGCATCCTATGTTTCGGAAAACCCGGTGGGATTGGTGCAACCGCACTTCCCCGTTTCAGGTAGCTCATTTGCCCGGCTGCAAGGATTCCCAAACACCCGCAAAATCACATCGCAGCTTTGGCACGCTTGTGTTGGAGATGCGGGATGTGCACGACTCAAACTGGAATGCCAGATTTCCGTTGTGTCAATGCATTATAACAAATTGTGCTGAAATAAGGCTAATGCCAGCAGGACATTGCATCAACAGGCCGTCCACGATGCAGTTCCGCACATGTTTGGAAGTGCTGTCAAACGCTTGAAACTGCATGCGACTCCATAAAGGAAGAGTCCTCGAGTTATCGGGCATTGAAAGCAAAGTCCGGACGGTTGCTCCCCTGACGATTAACGTGGAACCACGAAAAAGGGAACTCCGACAAGGAGAGAGAGTCCTCTAAAAATGACGTTTGTTTCGGTTCCAGGTCAAGTTTTAAAAGGGAATTTTCATGAGTGAAAAGGGTTGCTTCTAACCCCCCCCCCCTCAGGCCTGCTTCTGCTTCAGGATGGCTGATCCAACTCTCTCTCGCTCTCTCTTACAGTTGGCAAGCCGGGGGCTCTGAGAAAAACAACAACATTCTCCTGTGGCTTCATCCTGGGACTTGACATTCTTGCATATCTAGGTCGGACAAGGGCCAGGCACACAATGCCTGTGAGGACCCGATTGATTCTGATGAAGCCACCCAAAACAACCTCATTTGGGACACACTCAATTCTGCCAAAATTGCTTGGGTGGAGTGTGGGACCCTGCCTCAGCGATTGCTCTGCAACTGAAGTAAAATGGAGGTATAAATTTGGCCCCTTAAAATTCAAAGGACCCAAAACCAAGCTTCTACCCCTGTGGTTTGGTCATGTTTTGAGGTGTGGAGTGAACCAGTCCAGTGCTGACCCCCATTACATATTGAGCTGATTACACGCGAGGGTCCTGGCCAGATCCACAGTGAAACCAAACATCCTCGACTTGGCCAGTCCCAAAGTTCTTGCTCTCCAAATGTACCCTTGGTGTGGGAAAGTTGGAGCCATCCTCTTCTTTGTCCAAAAAACAACAGACTGCTCATTTTGCGAATTATTCTGGCTATTCTCATGGGTTGATATACAAACTGTTAGCATTGCAGGGGGTTTTACCGTAAATTGGGTGTAAGCAACCCCCTGCGGCAAGCCATTGATAAAGTTTTCACAAATGCACCCTGAAGGCAAAACACCAACTGGTGGAAACGACTACACTCGGAAGAAATCAACGTGAAATCAACGTCCCGTTGACTTCTCTACTACCTAGACTGTATGAGCCAAAACATCGCGAACGCCTGCATAGCTTGGGTTTCGGCCTGGGAGACTCGTGGCGAGAAAGCGTGGCCACCAGCGTATGGGCCTCGGACATGAGGCGTGCGGACACCGGAATAAACAGCCTTGCAGATGGACACAAACTGTTTCTCCAAAAAGGGAAGGAACCCCGCTTTCCATGGAAACTCGGACAAATCACTACAGGGCAAGGGCATTTTACAAAGGGTGAAAAAATGGTGAGAAAACAAGAGATAACAAAAAGAACATGCACTGGACAATAGCTCATTATGATGGTGAAACCCTGTTTATTACTCTCAAGTCTCTACTCGAGGTCCAATGTTCATAGGAAGAATGAGTAGTCAAATCGGGCAAGGCCTGGCTCGTCCTTGCATGAATGTCGTAAACTCAGCCATGCCAAGTGACTTGCCAAGCCTTGGTATGTCAAAGAATATGTTTTTCCAGCTCGTCACTCAAAATAGCAAACCTTACCAAAAACAGGGAAGGTGATGTTGAGGGAAATAATGTCAGCAAACACTTTGCCGTGTCATTGTATATTTCAAATCAAATGCGAATCCCACAAGAAATTTGGGGAACATTGAGAGTGTTGGGCCTTTTCACGCACAGTTCTTAGCCTGCGAGGCCTTGTGTGGTTGTTCATTTTGGGGCATGGGCAACACTTCAAATTGCCACTGACACATGAACGCTCACAGCTTTGTCAACTCGGACAAGAACTGTCATTTAAACGTATGACTGATGCAGTGGAAGAAAACGGCAACAACAGGGCGCCACTCATACGTACCTGGAAGGTCTTTGAAAAATAGCGCCCCTGGGCCCCTGATTGTGGAATCAATTGGACACGTCGTGGCGCAACCAGTAGCCAGACAGGCGGTTGGCTGCTTTCATGTTGGCGCCCTTTCAGACTGTCTCCATTCCCCTGTGCCGAGGCACGAATCAAAACACGAGCTTTCAAGTTGTTCTGGACGGGAATGATTCAAATCTCACCAACTGAATCAAACGATGCCCCAACCTGAGGGAGACGGCAGAGTCCCGCGCGTACTGCCTTGACAATGCGTATAGAAACGGAAAGAAACCAAGCCACCTACAAAGGCTGCCTGCGCCTTCTGGAAGCACAAACTCCTTGCAAGTCCAGCAATGCTGTGCAAACGAATGTGCGCAAGGGCCCCGACTGCTGCGAGTCGGCCCATGTCATCCTCATTGCCTGCCGTAGACACAGGTGGGGCTGCTCAATTTGCAGGCGGGAAGATCAAGCAAAGCCACGTGCAACTAGTCCCGCCTAATTGTAAGTGCTGTTGTGGAGCATAGGAGGCACTTATACAACCAAGTCCGCATCGTGAAAACACCTGCGAAATGGAACTGCTGAGAAAAACCAGCGAAAGTTGGAACAAGCAGGAAACTGCTGAGACTTCCAAGCTTCCACGATGGAACCTGACGAAATTGGTGTCAGAAAAGGCTGCAACTGCGCGCCTCGCGCCACCATGGTTTGCAGCGCTGCTGTGGAGCGCTCCAAAGGCAGCTCATGGGCCTGTCGGCCCGACGTCAAAAGCCATCATTCCCTGAGAAAGGAGGGAAGCTTTTCTTTCCATGTTAATCTCCTTTTTGGGGCTCTGGGCAATTAACATGTCGTTTTGGGGGTTCCATCTTAATCTGCAGAGGAGCAAAGTAAAGAAATCTACTCTGGGCACGACTTGCTGTCCAAATCGCACGATGCTGCCTCACAAGTTGGTGTCTGGCCCACAGTCAAGCTCAATAAGCATCATGGTCCAGCACTCACTTGTCAACATGGGCATGTCACCAAACCGGTGGCTCTTATGTTAGTTTCCTTTTCAGCCCACCTAACAAAGTCTCACAATACACACGAACACAGAGACACGTCAACCTTTGAAACACAGAAGTTTACAATGTCGCAGCAGAAACTCGAGATGTGTGCGACGACCTCTGGTATGTCAAATCCACTTCAAACCAGGATCGACAAACATCTCACAATAGAGAACACAACAGGACTGAATGTCCCCTTTTTGGTTGGCTTCAAAATCACCGCAAGGTGAGCTTGCTGCAGACAATTCTCTGAAAACCGGGCCTCAAAACCGCCCACCGAACTGTGAGATTCATTTGCCTGCGGGTCGTTGATCCGCAGCAGAGCCTCTCGTAGATCTTGGACCTGCCGACGTTTTGGACCAAGTGGAAGCCTCAATAAAGGAAACAACCTGTGGCTAAACCTCCTGGCACTCTCACATGACCTTGTTCCTGGCCTGCCAATGTGCATGAGTAAAATCCGAGTTTGTCCAAGCACCTGCCCAAGGAACAAACAAACAAATAGATACGTGAATGAGCATTTTGTCCGTCAAAGGCGCGATCCAAGATATGGTATGGAGGCCAGCAGGCAGTAACCACTTCCCTCGAAAACCGACATGGCAACTGAACGCGGCAACAGAAACGGACAATTGTGTAGCAACACAAGAAAACGGTGGAACCAACCAACCAACCAACCAACCAACCAACCAACCAACCAACCAACCAACCAACAAACCAACCAACCAACCAACAAACCAACCAACCAACCAACCAACCAACCAAGCATCCAACCAACCCAGCTCAAACCAGCAACCAACCAAGAACCACGCGGGGCAACCAACCAATTGGCCACTGAGCCCCGCGCCGTAGTGAGGCTGAGACGCGGCACAAGGTCGTCGCCCAGCACCACGCCTGAAGGCATCTTGTTCCATCGGCATGCGTTGGATTGTGTTTGTTTGTATGGTTGTATCGTCATTTTGTTGGTTGTTGTTTTGAGCTTCTGCAACTTGTTGGTTGGCTTGCTTGCTTTGTTGTTTTCTAGTCGGGATTTGTCTGGCTTGCTGCAGTTCGGGATGGGATGGCTTGGGTTGGTTGCTTGGTTGCTTTGCTCGTTCTTCTTGTTGTATTGTGTTGCGTGAAAGGCAATTCAAGGTCCTTGAAAAAGGTCCTTGAAGCCTTTCTTTTGGGGGGAGCGTGCATGAAGTCTGTGCTCTTGCCTGTGCTCCTGCTTGTTCGCGTTTGCTGCTTTTCTGTTTATGAAGCGGGCGAGCCACTTGCAGGAGAAAACATTGGCGAGTCACACTCAACCCCAATTTGTTCGGAGCGGCCCTGGCTGACTCACCAAGGAAGTACTTCGCATTACCAATGATAGGCAGGCCAGTCTTTGCTTGGCTTGAACTCGGCCCACTCCTTGCTGCTCCGGAGTGACTGTTTGGAGTTGGCACAGCAATATAGTCAGGCCAAATGTATACCGACGATAACTACGGGATCGCCGCACAGCAATATAGTCAGGCCAAATGTATACCGACGATAACTACGGGATCGCCTTCCGTGAGGTCAGTTTGTTTGGTCGTGGTTCTTGTTGTGGTTGCTGTTGTCATTGCTCCGGTCGGTTGCTCGGTTGGTCGGTCGGCTGTACCAGTCGTTGGGCCTTGCTCGCCGGGCTCCCCGGCTGGTGACGAAGTTGGACAGCGCCAAGGCGTGGCCAGCATCCAAGACCTGAGAGCAGCCTTTTGACAAAAAACCGATTGCCTCAACTTCCAATGTCCAAAAATCAGAATGGCTCTGAAAGCAAAGTCTTTTGCGACTTCCCTTGGAGGTGGTGATGGCCTATGTGGGTATGTACCAAAATAGGGAGTTGGTCCCCCCTTACATGGCGGTTGTCCTGTTGGTTTGCCTTGGAACCAACTTGAAAAGGATGCCTTCAAGAAAAATCACTCAGTTGCATATTTACCGACCCAGTTGCAAACGTTGACATGTTGCGTTCAATGTGTGTGTGTGTGGTGACAAAAATGCACCCACTCGCAACAAGAGTTCCGAACAGTGGAAAAAGGGGAACCTGGTTTGGGCGTGATCATTTGAAAATAGGGAAACCCGAACAAAAAGTGAACACGCGTACTACTAATCGACTGGGTTGAAGTGAGTCTCTACTTGCTGGCTTGTGGTGCACCACAAGCAAACGAGGAGTTGCTGGAAATTCAAGGTTTCTCTTGTGAAGCGGCCTAAAACCAATTTCCTAATGCTCGTTGGATATCTTTATGTGGCTATCCATTTCCTGCTTAGTTGCTCTTATCCAAAAGCCTGCTCAGATTTGCGAACAACCCTGCCAAATAACTGACTGCTAAGCCGAAGTGCATTGAATTTCTGCTGTTTGCACGTGTTCAATAAACGACTGGTGGCAGCCACAAGGTGGGCAAAAACAAGGAACCCTCTTTTTGGGTTTGGGGTTTTAGTTACGGCTTTCAACCAAGGAAGGTCCTCGGAATCTTCTTCGGGCTATTAGAAGTCAGAAGTGACCTGAGAACCATTCTGATGGCCAGGGGGGCACTAATGTTTCCCTTCTGTTTGTTGGGTGGTGGGTATCCAAAACCTAAGGGACCCCTCAAACTGGGTTGGTTCTTCCTTGAAAGGGGACCCCCGATTTTGAGATATGATATGCCCATATTGACATTGGAACACGCCCTGACAAATGCCCAAGTACTCACAAATCCCACCAACCACACAGAAATAAGGATTCATATGCTCTGCCAGTATCGCTTGATCTCTGATGGGCTGCGCAGGATAGCTATTGTAATACTTCACCATGTGTTTGACATGCTTAGTCCAGCAAGGCCTGGCTCAGCTTGGGAAACAACTCAAATGACCTTCTTGAGAGGGTCTTCCCAACAAATATTGTCAATTGAAGGTTCAATGGGATATCCGCTATTTCCAAACGACCTAAGGGATCAAGGATTCATCAGCTACCAGCCATGCTAAGACTTGCTTCCCCATTCCATTCACCAGCTGTTGGCGGTCAAGACAACAGACCAGGGTTTCTTTGGCCATCTGACAGGAAGAATTTCCCGCCCCTCAACATATCCCGATTTTGGCAAAATGAGTGGCTGAACTGTAGCCCATGCCTTATCCATTTTGGGCCATCCTTGGCAACGTCGTAAGCCTCAAGTCAGTTTGATTGGTCTGCGTCTGCTCTTGCACCAAACAAAAACCATGGGACCATGACTGATCCAAAAAAGACACCAGTTTTCATCAAACTGAGTCCGTCAAAGTTACATCCTTAATGTTACCCTCCAAATGTTGTTTTGAAGGGAATTATCCAAAAGTAGTTGTGAGAACCCTTCAAAATGTATCCATTTCAGGGTGGAATCAAAGAGGGACCTTACAAAACCACCCTCCAAAGATTGTAGCACCCCAATGCCCACTTTCGGGGACCCGGTCAAACAGGTTGCATTGTTGCATGGGTATTGTTCAACATCGGGAGAACTAGATGGTTGCTTTCATGTTGGTTCCCCTTTCAAGCAACCAAAGAAGTTGCGCACACTCCAAAAAGCACGTAGCCGCATGTCAGCAAACCAAGCCCAGCCTGTGGACAGCCAAAGGTGATGCATTGCAGCACTCGGCCCGGCGGCAAGGCCGCCTGGTCCTAAACCGCGCCGAAAATCCGCGCCAAACGACGACTTGAGGTGCAACGCCAGAACACTCAACCCCACTTGGTGGTTGTGTTAACCCCTCTGCAAAAAGCTGAGCTTTTTGTGGGTTCAATGGAAACCCTTGAATTTCCAAAAGAAGTCTCAAGATCCAACCCAATAGCAATCAAGCCCAGCGCACCAAAACCTGTTTGTTGGTGGGTTCCCTTTGAAGTCTCTCAACAACAGGTTTCCCCCCTTTTCTCTTCAGAATCACCTGGGATTCGCGAGCTGTCCCCTCAATTTCCCACAGATCCCTCCCGAGAGGTGCTCTGCACAGAACGGCTCGAATCGAGCAACCCTGGTCCGTCAGGCCGCAAATGGGTTGAAACCACGCCAAAGGAGTGAACTTGGTTAGCCCAAGCAGGGGCCGACCTTGCATTTGGCTCACTTGAGTCACAAACAAAACCCGGTATTCAAATAGTCTACCCAGAACCATGTAAAGAATTAAGAAGGCGGCCGCAACTATTTCTGGCTGAGACTGGCCCCTTACTAGCCTTCATCTAGCCTGGTTTTGATTGTGGCTCACTTCTGCTTTTTCCGGTTCAATCTGAAATTTCCGATATTTGGCAACACCAGAAAAGCCAGCTGAGAATAGGCGCCTGATTCGGTTTGGCCGTACCAGTGATTTCATGTCAAGAACTGACCAAGCAGAGACCCTCTCCATCTGGAAACACCTTGGGTACCCAACCTCACAAACACGGCTGACTAATACAATTCCTTTTCTTGCAGCATGGTATATTCTTGTTCAAGTGCCTGACCGCTCAATGACCATCTTCCAACCTTACCAAAACTACAAATCATTCTACATGGTTTATGTCGATCTGTCCTTGAGCGATACTTTTCTGGTGGGTATCCAATTTGTGAACTCCAACTTGTCCAAATTAAGGTACTGCATCACTCTACTCTGTCCATCGCAACGAACGGCACAGCAAAGTAGGCGATTTGTATTCTTGGCATCGAAGTCACACTAGGCCAGTTAGTTGGCTGTGTAAACGCCAGCATGTTCCTGAACGTTCATGTGTGCAATGTGTTTGTGTTTGTGCATAACAAGGTGTACCCAGGTAACTTTGGTCACACCAAAGAGCTGCCAGCAATAAACATCACCTCCCAGTGTAGATCTTGTTTGAAGGAAACCAATCATTCCCTGTTACTCCCCTGCAGCCTGCAAACGAAGATGGAACCCAGAAAGCCAAATAAGTCTTCGTGGGTACTCCTGTTTTGGGCAACCTGTTTGGCAGGTTCGCTTGTCACTCAGAAACATGGGATCACTTCCATCAGTGAGTGATTCCTAAAACAGTGAATCAAAGTGCACCATAGGCCAACTTGGCTTGCCAGGCAACCCTCCACTGCCTCAAGGGAATCAATGTCCAGTCAGAAGCAAAACCTGGTTGAAGGTTACTGCAATTCTTGATGCCTGTTTGGATTGATTTTCTTGAAACCATCCGCGAACATCGGCTCGGAGAGCGCCGAGTTTTCAGACGCCGCCCTCGGCTCATCCGACGCCAAGCCGCCCGCCAGAGCGCGCTCAGCAGCGCCGCCACGCCGCCGCCCAAGGAGTGCCCGGTGACCAAGACGTCCGCCACGTGGGGTGAGCGCCAGGAGCCGGGCTGGCGGGGTGACGCAGATGGTCGCTGGTTGCCCCAAAAACCCCATCACAAGCCTCAGACCCTCATTTGGCCTCGTCAGGCCTACTAACCCCAGCCGCACTGTCTTTGCAGGAGTTCCAAGTGGCGCAAAAGTGTCCAAAGTGGCTGAGTCCAAACCCAGGATTGGCATATTGACCACAGGGTGAAAAAATGGTTGGTTGACTTTTCGTCTCCCTCACGCAGCCCAAGGTCCGCATTTTTGGACACCCTTTTTGGAAGGACCCAAATAACAGTTTCAAGGATGGTGCTACTTGGTGTTGATAAACAGGGGACAATTTCTGGGCTCATTCAGAAAGACATTGGTTTCCTCTGGGATTCCTACAAAACAGCCCGCGAAATGACGTCAAAAACAAGACAGCCCCGCAAACGGGTGTGTCTGTATGGCAATGACAGAACACACCACCCAAAGCTCTAGTTCAACCTACTTCCGAAAGCAATTAAGGCTCTGATGAAGTTTGCATTTAGATGCTAAGGAAGGCTCCACCGCTGCGCTGGGGTGCCATATGGGTTATGTGACAAAATAAGGGAACCCTACAATGGTGGTTCTGGTGTTGGTGCTTCTTGAGAACCGACCTGAGGGGCGCATGTTCTCGCTCGCAGCCCCCAGTGTTGGGCCACTTGAGCAGCGTCCAAACCCATTGATGTTTGGTTCTACAAGAATTAACATGGTTATACAAGCTCCCATCCCAATATCGCAATATGTCCATATCCCAATTGCACCTGGTAGTGGAACCGCGCGCTCCACACATTCGCAAGCGAGATCGAAGCCCCCCCGAAGAGTGACCCCGACCCCAATCCATGTTAAGAAAATGGCCAACACTTCTCGACCGCATCGAGCCCCCCGCCTCCAGGCGCTCCAAACCTTGCAGCACCAGCGGCGGCAACCTCTCGCTGAGACGCTGCGCCGCACGCAGCATGCCCCCGTGCGCCTCCCCTGCCGCTGAAACGGCCAGAGCTTTCCCCCTCCCCGGCGCCCGCGTTGCTCAAGGGATGGGATAAAAAGGCCACTTGGAGCTGGGGGTGGGCGTGGGTCAGGGTGGTGGGGTGGTGGTGAAGCTTGCTATTCACTGCAAAACGCGCGTGGAAGGAACGCCTTCATCGCCATCTGCCCGAACCTTGGGCGTTCCACATGTCAATCTGACTGGTGCCTAGCGTCCTGGTACGTTGCTATTTTAATGTCCACGTAGGATTTATAAATGAACCTGTAATAAAGACAAATGGGGGGCCCAAAATAATTAATAAATGCACCTACAATAAAGACAAGCACCGCCACCCCTGCCCATTTTTCCAGAAAAAAAAACCAAAAAAAAAGAGGAAGGAGAGGAAGGAGAGGAGAGATAGCCAAACCAAGTCCTTGGATCTTTGGCACCTTGCTCTTGGCACCTGCTTCTTTCCTCACCCAGTAGCTCAAAGCTTTCTCTGGGCAGCAAGCTACTGAAGCTGGTGGTGCTTGCTGCTTTCTTCCCAAATCCAAACTGCAGACCTTCCCCAAACTCAAGTTTCCTTACATGTCTCTTGTTTAAAAACTGCCCACCATCAAACCCACAAAGGGGGTAGTACTTCAGCCCCCAAATTTTAAGCCCAAGACTTTATTCCAGGGGCCCCTATAATAAAGTCTTGATGCATTGCCCCCCCTGAAAAATGCAACTCCCTAATGGCAGTTACCTCTTAGCTAACCAACTGGCCAAATTCAAAAACAGTCCAAGGTGATGCTGGTGAAGCTTGCTTCTTTCTTCCCAAAATCCAAGCTGCAGACCTTGCCCAAACTCAAGTTTCCTTACATGTCTCTTGTTTAAAAACTGCCCACCGTCAAACCCACACAGGGGGTAGTACTTCAGCCCCCCAAATTTTAAGCCCGAGACTTTGTTCCAGGGGCCCCTACAATAAAGTCTTGATACATTGGCCCCCCTGAAAAATGCAACTCCCTAATTGCAGTTACCTCTTGGCTGACCAGCTAGCCAATTTCAAAAACAATCCCAGGTGATGCTGGTGAAGCTTGCTGCTTTCTTCCCAAAATCCAAACTGCAGACCTTCCCCAAACTCAAGTTTCCTTACATGTCTCTTGTTTAAAAACTGCCCACCGTCAAACCCACAAAGGGGGTAGTACTTCAGCCCCCCAAATTTTAAGCGGCGAGACTTTATTCCAGGTGCCCCTACAATAAAGTCTTGATGCATTGGCCCCCCTGAAAAATGCAACTCCCGAACTGCAGTTACCTCTTAGGAAGCTCGAAAGGAAGCTCCAGCAATACTAAATCAAATGGAAACTCAGTTCCAAATCTCAAAAGGAAGCTCCAGCAATACTAAATCAAATGGAAGCTCAAGTCTGCCAATACTACATCAAATGGAAACTCACTTGAACTGGATCTCAACATACTATTCAAGGTGCCCCCATCGTTGGGGGGGGGGGGGACCCCCGTTTACTAATCCTAGGTGGACATTAAATCCGCCGACCCTCTGCCTCCCGTCCCAGCCTCCTGCAGAGGGGACCGGCGTGGGATGCAACTGGAAGTGATTGGAATCAATGACAGGCACACCCGAAAGCACAAAAAGTGGATTCCCAGGCGGTCCCGGGACCGGTCCCGGCACCGGTCCCAGGACCGGTCCTGGGACCGGTCCTGGGACTGGTCCTGCGACCACTTCGGATTACTTGCAGTCAGCCAAAACCGGTCCTGGCCGGTCCCGGGACCGGTCCCAGGACCGGTCCTGGCACCGGTGGCTGGGACTGGTCCTTGGACTGGTCCCGGCCAGGACCGCTTTCAGGACTGGTCCAAGCCGGTCCCAGGATCGAGTCCTGGTGTGACCGCTGGTATCGGATCCCACTTCAAACCGCTGCAGAAACCCGGTGCCACCTCGAACAGCTCCAGACACCTGTTCGGGAGGGCCAGTTTCAGGGCGACCCGGGACAGGCGACTGCTCCCGGGCCAACTCGAAGTGACTTGGGCGCAAGCCGGCACAAGCGGCAATTAACGGACTAGCTGCCATATTTCTGACTTTTCCGTTAATCCTTGTTTGTGGTCGTAGAAAATATTATAAGTGGTCCCTGGGTTTGCGGACGTGTTTCAGGACCGGTCCTTGTGACTTTTCCCTTAATGCGCCGAGGGTCGGCGGCAGCAGGCGGGAGCCTGGTTAATAACCCCTTTCTAAGACACCGAAACGGGCAACTTAAAAAGGGAATAGTACCACGGAAAATTGCACAAACACAACAATGATCCACAGCCATGCTCGTGTCTTCCCGTGTCCGAATGAATCAAGCGGACCATTTCCCACAATGCCAATCAAGCAGTCTAAAATCGAATCTTTCGGCATCTGGCCCCTGAGAAGTACTTGGGGCTCATGTTAAGTTTCAACATGAACAAGTAAATGCCCCTCCCCAGATCCAAAACGCAGCAGAACAGAAAATGGCACACTATGGCAAAACTAGGCTGACCCCTCAAATACTCGATGTTCATGAGCTTCAAAAGGGCTAAGATACAAATCGTGCTGGGCTGTATTTTTCAAGATCAATACAAGGACACACACCTATGAAGGGGGCCGTCATCACAGGGTTGCGGTCACAAACCAAGACTCTCCGTAACACTGCGATACGACTTCTCAAGGTCATGGTGATGTCTATCACGATTTGCTTCCACGGATAGATTGTATAGTTGTGCTAGACGCATCTAAATTTGCCGGTTGATCTCAAAAGCTAAACCCCGGTTTCGGTAGCAACCAAGCCCAAAGTTGACACAAATAACAGGTTCAAAACATGGGTGCCTTGGCTCCACAGAAGACTCGCGGCATTTGCATTTTCTCCCCCGTGCCAACACAATGCATTCTCCCACCCCCCAAACAAGAAATGCATTCTCACCTACTCCCTGCCCAAGCAAACACATGCATTCTCCCACCCCCAAGCAAAAAAAAAAGAACTGTCCCACCCTTTTAAAAAAATGCGTCAAATGTGGCCGTGGAGGACAAAAAAACATCAACCATTGGCTCCGCATGTCGCGCCAACCCACCAGCACGATGCGCGCCGGTTTGGCCTGCAACACCGGCCAGCTCGCAGGGCGCCGCCTGCTGGTTTTAAGTGCCCCCCCTCTGGTGGTTCTGCTAAAGGGAAGCCAAAAGCGCACCACCCATTTCGGGGTTCCGCCATTAACATGTCTGGTTAGCCACAAGGCCTAGGGTTTCTCAAGGGAAGTGAAGACCATCCTGAAGACAAGGGCCGTCGCTTCATTGGGTGCGCTGCCTGGGGCAGGTTGATTCTCCATTTCCCAGACTACTGTGTATGTTTGTACTTTTGAGTGCATCATCATTGGGGTGGCTCAAAATGGGATTCAATGGGAAAGCACGTGTTTCAGTTCTTCCCCCTTCTATGACGCATATCCTTATAATGCAATTCCACTTCGACTTGATTCTGAACGTTGTGCCTTGAGCCTGGCAAACGGGTACCCATTTGAACCCTCCTGAAAACCTCTCTTTTGGTAGGGGGTCGGTTTTTGTTTCTTTAGGAACATATAAGCGATTCGAGACCCGTTGTCGTTCTCGAATGCGAGACCATCTTGGAGACCCGCAAACGAGCATGTTGGGGAGTCCTTGGGTGTCCCTTTCAGAGGGCCTGATCACGTGTGCGGGGAAGCACCCTCAGGTTGATCAGCAGGGGTCGATCCCAGAGGAATCGACCGGATCCACAGGTCTGCAAAATCGGCTTGAACAGTTGGGCCCTGGCTCCCTTTCGCAAAAGCAACATGGGTTTTAACAATAGGGAGTTCACCAATGTATTCAGCATCTTGAACCCCACTTTGAATCCAAAAGGATCTGAAACCATGGCTTTATCAACAGAACGCTTGTTCATCTCCGACAACTCTCAATAAGATCGTCGCGCAAACGGGTTTAAGATTGTTGCGCAGACAGGTTTGTTTGTTGGGTTACCATTTAGCCATTATTTTTCTGAGTTTCCCTACGAGTATCAGGAAAAGGCCCTAAACCCAATACCCAAGCCTTTGTTCCCAAAGAAGAAGGTTGCCACGACCCATTTCAGAAGCCAAACTTGACGCCTCGCAGACGAGGTCCACCAGCACGTCTTTGGCCCCGGAGGTGCCACGCAGCGCCACCACCACGCAGCCCAGCTGAAGCGAGGCGATCCACCAGCCGATACCCAGCGAGCGGCTTTGGGCGCGGAAGTGTGGGTTCTGTCCCTGGAAAAGGAAAGTACTTGTTGTGTTGGTGTCTTCTTTAAACCCGTAAAGCGGTTGGGATTTTGAGGGGTTCTCAAACTTACTGTTGGAGCTGGAAAATCATGCAAAACCACATACAACCGCTTCTTAGAGGGCTACTGTTTAGGTTGTCACTTTAATAGACGCAGTCTGAGTGTGTTGAACTACGCAAACAAACATGGAAGGGCAATGGCAGGGGGCTCTAAACTTCCTTCTGAGTCTCGCCAAACCGTGTCCTTCCTCTGCTCCTTTGTGGCCCATGGCCAAAAAACAAAACAAAAAACGGGGAACCCAGGCAACCAAACAAAGGGATGGACTCCCGGCATCTGCTCTCCGACCTGGAAGCCTTCGAAGCTTGGGTGGGAAAGGTTTCGCCAGCTCGCTTTCAACAACCCCGGGTCTTACGCTTGCACGAAGCATTTGGAGGAGCCCAGGTAAAAGGTCGTGGACTTCAAGAACCTTGAGTCCAAGTCCCGCTAGCATGGTGCAGGGTGCAAGCCATGGTGTGTGATCTGAAACCAAGCCAATCCCTCGGCAAATATTGATATAGATTGGCTGGGTGTTTCCCGCAGGTGGCTGCACCCTGCACGGTCCATGTGAGTTCGCAACATTGAATAAAGAAACACAACTACACGGTCCATTCAGCAAAAGTAGATGAACCGTGGTTAGTATCATGGCTGTATTCCATTCATTCCCTTCAACAAAACCAGAACGTTGATTTAGAGACCTATGGGTCAGCTCCTTCAGTCTGAAGCTAGTTGAACTCAATGTAGCCTGATTCATTTTTAGAGGGCGTTCCCAAAAATTGAACCATATTTCCGCTTGAATAGGACTTCCCCCGCTCAAAGTGAACCAGGAGTTCTGCTCAGTCATTGTCCAAAATCCCACTGCCCAAAGCGCTGTGGTTGGGACGTGGGTGCTGGTGTTTCGTGGATTCGACCACTGCGCGCCTCTTGGTCCACTGCGACCATATAGCCAGGGACAAAGTGCTCAGAGGTCGACTCCTTGAATCGATGGGTAATATGGGTGGGCCTTTTGTGAGGGAAGCCTCCGGCAATGGTGATTTCCTTTGGGTTTCCCTTTGACACCAAAGGAAAAACAAGCACCCTCAAACAAAGATACACCTACACACACACACACCCGCATGGAGGCCCCAAAAAACCGATGTGGGGGTTGGAAACCAGGATCCACAATCTCATGTCGCGAACTTGGACCCTGACGCCTGGAACTGAACCCAAACATCGCACGGATCTCGGCAAAACACTGTTCAACCATGTCTAAGACTTGCGGCAAAGATGGGAACAATGGTACCTTCTGGTTTGCTGGTTTTGAACAACGCACTGTTAGGCCATAATTACGCAGCAACTCTGAACTCCATCAACTCACAAACTAAACTCGGCAAGCACCTGGCACTAAGGAACTCAGACAGGGAGAGCAAAGATAAGGTGAACCAATGACAACACCGAGAGGTCAAAGCAATTCACCAACCAACCGATCAGCAAGCAAGCAACCAAGCCGTCAAGCTGCCCACCGTCCCGCTAAGGCCTGAAGCAAATGACTCCCACCGAGTTGCAAAGGCCAGCACGTCTACACGGCCCTCCACCTGTCGCAATCAGATTCCAAATGAATCCCCCAGAAAAGCACAACTTCAAAGCGCAGGGCCCTCAAAAAAAGTAGAACTGCGGACCCTCATAAATGGAGGCTCAGTTGGTTTTCCAGCGTTGGTCCAGAAGGCATGGCTCATAAAGCAGAAATTCTATGTGTTGCCTCTTGCGTGTTCTGGTTCCGGTCAAGATCGGTAAAGCAACGATTACCAGGCCCGTGGGTGGTCCCTTCTGGTATCATTTGTTGCTATCCTGCCTTACGGTGCAGTCAATCTCCAGCACATGAAACCCATTGGCTGTTGGCTCTACTAGAATGGTTTTACACGTGGGCCCTACCTTAACCCTACCAACGCCAACATGCTCTTTTGGCACTTGAACAAAGGGCCCAGCTCACATCCACACATGCAATTTAGTTTAGTCTTGCCACACAAAAGTAAAACCCATTTTGGGGCCCAGCAGCCATGAGGCACGGACAAAAAAAACTGGTTTTCCCAGGAGGACGTGGGAAAAACATGGACAAACACCCTGCTCTTGGTGGCTGAAAATTAGCGAGTTCCGAATTCCTCCTTCCTGGTATCTCCCAAAACAAGCTTCTAGATGTTTGACCAAACCTTGCATATGCCAGATTCAAACCTTAAAGGCCAACATGGACCTTCCAGGGGATCAATTACCCAAAATCCTCAGGGCGACTTCAGGTATTACATGGGTGTGAGTCAAAATTAAACCACCAGGGGATCGCAGGTTTTGGTCCATGTTGCCACTTACCAGGGTGCCATTTTGGGGTTATTTTACTTTTGACCCACAGCTACATGGACCCTTGGACCGGTTGGCGCTCGCGGCACGCGGCTGGCGGCGCCTTGGCCGCGGCCAGCGCGATCTGCGCCGCGTCGCCTCCCGCCGAGTGAGCGCCATAGGCGCGCACCGCCGGCGCCACGAGACCGTCCTCGGGGCGAAATCGACTCGAATAGACTGGAAGTCAGTGTGTCTTGTTTCGAGGGTACCCTGTTTAGCCATCGGAGCGCGTGCCAGACACAAAAGTACTGTTCTGTGGTTGCCCGGGTACCTGACGCTGGACTATGGCTCAAAAACCGGTATGGATGGTTCCGCGGTGATCTGGACCGGTCTCTGGATCACCTGCGTATCAGTCTCTGGATCGGCCCCAAAAGTTTGAGCCGCAGCGACTAAGAGAACAACTCATCGGCGTTGTGAAGTACTTCAAACCCAAAAGACATGATCACATGAGACGATTGTCAGAAATCATATCATGTCGCGTAACGTAAATGAACAAGATACTGCGCCAGCTGGTAGGTGGCTTGGGGCCTAAACAATTAGAGTGTGATTTCATTTTGCGGTGCTTGATGGGGGGGGGCGGGTTGGATGGCGAGCTTCACGGCAACCTGGATGGAGTCAACACGCACACACACACACACACACACACACACACACACACACACACACACACACACACACACACACACGTCACTAAGTCTGGGGGCATTTTATATTCACCATTTGAAGGGTAAGTTTGCCACTTCAACTGGCACATGCGCTGCACCCGAAAGCTGGGATTCACTTTCTGCAAAACTGCGTGGGTTGGCTCGTTGCTTCTTGTGTTTATGTTGTGGAAACATAGATCGCTCCCGCTCATGTGCGATCCGTCCCCAAACAACCAGCCAACTACCACTTTGGGTGTTTCTTTCCCTAGAGGGTCCAAGTTTTCCTTCCCCCCAAAAGGGAACAAACGTACCTAAGCAGACGGTGTTTTGAGATGTTGTTGATATGGTGGAAAATGGTGAACCCAGAACCATGTAAAGAATTAAGAAGACGGATATCCGCAGCTATTTATGGCTGGGATTGGCCCCTACGAACCTTCATCTACCCGGGTTTTGAGCACGTGGCTCGTTTGCTCGTCCAACACCCCGCTCGTCAGCGGCGAGGCAAGGCGCCGCCAGCCCCGCCAGAAACTGCGCCCCGAAGGTGGCCGCGGAGAAGCGCATGGCGCGCTCCGCGTGGGGCGGCAGCATCACCGGCTGGAAGGGGCCTGGCTTGTGTCGGTTGAGTCGGGGTGTCCCATGGCGATCTGAGCTGCTCCATTGGTCCTTGGAAATGGTAAAGGTAGGAATCCTGCAAGTTTGGGTCGGGACCATGCCTCAAGCGCTGATGTTCCTGCGTTGAACTTTCCAAAGTCTCACTGGAGCATTGGTTAAAAGGAAACCAAAGAAAACGATAACAATACGCTTGGGGTCTGATAAGGCTCAAAGCAATCCTGGCATCCGTGGAACTCACCATAGTTTTTGTTCAGAGGCAAATAATCCAGGACATTCCAGCGCCCCTCTCCCCAGTCAGGTTTTTTTTGGTGGAAGGCTGCCCAGCGACTGAAATGGAACCTGGAATTGTCCCACTTTCCATGGCGACTTGGAGGATGTGAACTTTGGCGGGCAACGACCAATACTGGGGACCCCTAACCCGCTCGAGGTGGGTGCCATCAAGGTCCTACTCGTGGTTGCCTTCGGAAGGAAAAAGGTTATGGAAGACAACAACTTGCCTGTTCCATTCGAAAACAAACCCATCAACACAAAGAAACGTGTGGTTCAAAGCACTTTGTGGCCCAACGGCCCCTTATGCTGGGGCCTGGTGCTGCATGTTCTGCATGTTCTGCCAGGCTTCTTCCATCGGGCAAAGGCTGTTGTTGCACCCAAAGATGTTTGTGTACAGGGCCTTCTACATATTTCTACATGGTTTCATGATAGGTCTAAACAAACTAATATTAGAATGTCCAGCCCTTCTACATGGGTGGGGAAAATAATGTCAGATCAGTTTGGTTCACCATAAATGGAATGTGCAACTTGGGTACATTGGGTGAAGCCAACTCATTACCTTTGGGACCCCGAATTGACTTCGTTGTCCTCCTCAAGGCGCGGCCTGACACGTAACTGGTTCTCCTATCCGCAACTTTTACAATTCCAAAAACCTAAAATAAAGAACTGGAACCAGGCTTGCCTTAGGCAGACCCAATGACCACCTTCGGATGCAACATGAGTCTTTTGAAGGGTCCCTGGTGTTTGACACCGCCACTTGCTCGGCTGCAGAGAAACAAGAACTTTGTTTTCAAAAAAAGGCAAAAAACGGTGCCTGGACGTTAGGGTTCTTGCAAAACACGTTGTTCGTAAAAACTGATTTGAATCCCAGGGTTCCTTGAAGTTCTCCAAACTGGTTTCCATGCAGGATTTGATGATTTGCGGATCTAGGAATGTTTACAGTGCACAAATGGTTAGAATTGTGTTGTGGGGTAATTACTGAAAAACCATACGTCACTATCGCAAGAGAATCCTGCGTGCAGTAGTCAGCCCATATATCATATATCCCCCCCCCCTCCCACCCCCAACCCACCCCCTCCACCCCGTCCCGTCCCATCGCCTCGCGCGTTGAGCTCCAAGCGCGCCGCCTGCTGGGCGCCCGTCCAGGCCCGCGCCGCCAGCATCAGCTGCGCCCAGGTCACCGGGCCCAGCGAGCTGCAGAAGCCTCGGACGGAGCTCAGAGCTCGGGCCCAAGGACTTCAGCGGCTGGACTCTGTGGATGGTTGCGAAATCCTTTGCGCACCACCGTTCAGAAACCCTGGTTTCTGATGATTCCCCTGCAAATACCAACCAACAATGGTGATTTCGTCCATCCACAGTATCACTGGACCCGTGGGCTGCAAAAAGGTCTCAGGTTGGAAACGAAGCACCGCTAAGAGGGGTTTTTCGACTTGTGGGTGAAATGGATATCCAACCACTGAACCTGAAAAAGCGAAAGAGCGACGGGGATGGCTGGGAACCGGCAACATCAGGTTTCATGACTCCGTGAGGGTTACTGACCCCCTCGATTGATCTGTGGCCAGCAACCGTTAGGTGTCCCAGTGGTTGTTGCAGGCTAGTGGATTGTAAACATTACAAAGGTTGGTGGCCAGGACTTTTTGTTTGGTTGCCCCCAAGTCACAACATAAGAGCGTATGTGACCTGACTCATGGTCCTTGTGACAAGAGCTGGTCTACCCGGTCAAACTACTGGAAGACACAAGAATGTCGGCCCCCTAGTTTATGTGGACCATATGGTTTCAAATCATGTACCAGAGGATCCCCAAGTTGCTTATCAAAGGCTCAATGTGTAAACCCATATGAGGCCTCGGTACAGTATGAACCAATTTAATGGGTTGCCTTGAGCCAGTCCCCAAATGCTTCCAAACTAAAAAAAAAGTCTCCTTTGGGAAACAACCTTTTGCTTGTCAGGAGACACCAAAGGGATACCGAAATCCGTTCTGGGGATCTATCTTAAGACACACCATGGGTCGAACACAAGCCGTTCACATTTGCCGAGTCACGGCGCACCATCTGCAAAACCATCATCACCGACTCGGCAGCCTCCGCGATTCGGTGACGCGGAGCAAACTGATACCTCCCAAAAACAAAAATGGAAGCTGCCATCCCTCCAAGGAAACATGGTCTTCCAAAAATCCCTCAGGTTCTCTGATCCTGGCCCCTCCCCCCCTCCCCCCTCTCCCCCTCCCCCCCTCCCCCTCCCCCCTCCCCCCCCCCCCCCGCCGACTCTTGTGGCAAACTTACAGGGAGAGCCCACCAGAAGTGATTCGTTTCATGCTTCTCTTGAGATCCCCCCCCCCCCGAGGCAGGTTGGGAGGTTGGGACTTATTGCTGTAACAACAACGCAGGGTTCATACACGCCCTTGAGCGTCACGTCCAAAGTTGATGTTATAAAGCACAACCTAGGGGGATATGTTGACTCAATCCTTTCAAACCGCTGCCTTGGCACATGTCATGATTGCTTCGTGTCTGAAATCTCAAAGTGTGATCAAACATTCACACAAATGGGATGGGGAGGTAGTGCCTGTGTTGATTCATGTTGCTGTGAGCTAGGAAATTCCAACCGGCCCTTTGAGTGGGAACAAACACCACGGAAAGCTCAAAAAACAACAAACACCGATGACATCTGGCCATTTGTGGTTTTAAAACTCACCTGACGGTGAATCACCAAGTGAGAGACCTTCACCGTAGATCGGATCGATCCGTAAGCTCGATACTCAGGGTGCCAAAAAGGAGTTTCTGGCCAGCGCACAGACTTATCCACCCGGTTGGTTACATGGCCCTGTCCGAAGGCCACGAAAACACGCTTTCCGCGTGCCTCATCGCCCACGGCCAAGCGCAGCAGCTCGCCCTCCTGGCGCGACATTTGCGGAGACACTCGGTTGAGCAACAAGCAACGTTTGGCGGCTTGGGGGAGAGAAAGTTCTCCATGGTCTTTGTCTGTCAACCCAGTTTTTTAGAAAGACAAGATCGTGCCAAACAACGCTGCATGAAGATGCGCGGCACCACTGATGATTTAGCAACACGTGACACAAATCAGGGATCCCCAAGTGAAGGATCCCCAAGTGATGGTTTTGCCCCCACATCGCATCGCTCGAAACCCAGCAAGGCAAATCATTTGGCCAGATGGACAACGGGCCGCCTCCTGATCGCCCGATTTACAGAAGGGCTGAGCCGACAGGAACACTGAGAAGGCTACATGCTGCATTGGCCAATGTTCTTTAACTCCTCCTTCTTGTTCAACATTCAACCCTAAACCTAGGCTTTAAATATTTCTATATGCCAGATGGTTGTCAAGGCCGAAGCTACTAAGGTCTATACCTGCATTTGCTGAAGCCCCCTGGAAAATTAGCAACATACTTCCGACATTGATAGCTTCCCTTTAAAACCAGCAGCACAAAAAAGGCAAATATTCTTAAGCAGCATGGAAGCACAAGGCCCGCCAATAAAAAAGAAAACGTTCGTTTCAATAGAACCGAAGCGTGGGAGGTTGGGAGCCTGGAACCTCTTTGGGGCCGTCGACTGCGCGACTGCGCCTGGGCCCCGGCAGCGCCCAGAGACATGCGCGCCGCGCCCAGGGAGGCTTGGGTGATGCCCTGCGCCAGGTCCTGCCGAAACTGATTTCAGCTGATCCTTCGAGACTGGGGCCAGCGAGCGAGAGGCCCAAAGGAGCTGGGAATCGGCGCTTTGCTTTTTGGACCTTGGCCAAAAAGGGACAACGAAAAAACTGAAAAATGTCAGAAGGTCGATTCGGAATCGCTTTGAACAACTGAGTAACTGTTTCAACATATTGGCAATCCCAAGCGGGTCCTTCAAAGCGAAGCTTCTCTTAAAACGATCGGGTTCGAAGTTATATGCGGGAGGGAAGCCCCCGTACCCCCAGTGAACATCCCAATCCCAACTAAAATAGACTAAAAGGGGTGGTGTACCTACCCCAAAATGGTACCAAAACGGTTTTGACCCGCAGCCATACCTCACCCAAAGGGTAAGTCGACCGGTCCAGCCGCTATGCTTCCCCGCCTGGCCAAAGTGCGTCGCGCCCTGTGCGAAGGCCAAGACCTCGCAACCCAGGCGCGAGTGGCGAGTGGCGGCTTCAACTTGCTGGTTCTCAGGAAATCAAACATGGGTTCGGGGAATGAACCGTTTGGGATCCAACCAACGAAACCAAGGATGAGGATTTTTCAAGGAATGAACCCAATAAACTTGCTGGTTGGGTTTTGGGGAACGGAAGGGGATCCAACCAAGTTGAAACTACAAGGGGATGGTTCAATTCCGGGTGATTCCAACTCATTCCCTGACTAGGTCAAGTGGCGCGAGAGAGACCATCGAACTCCTGCAATCATTTAGCCAGGGCACAAGGTGAATGTTGCTTTGTATCCAACCCCACTTTTGTCAACCCGACCTTTCTTATTCCAACCCTTGTGCGATCCTTTTGTTTGGGTTATACAAGTGGTTGGTAGACATAAATATCCTCACCAAAGCGCCTTCAGGTTCGACGAAAACGGGTGGCAGGTCTGGAAAACAGCTAATTAGGGTTGACGACAGGATTGAACAACTTGCTGGCGCTCAGCAGGGAATGAGGGAATGAACCTGGGGATTCCCGTCAAGGAAACTGTCTGGGATGGTTTATAGGGGTCATTCCCTCATTCCCTGCCTATCGAACCAGCAAGGAAAACCGGAGAGCCCAAACAACTCCACTAGAAAAGCTTCTGCCTGCTGCACGCCGCCGGTCACCACCTGGCACGCTGTGGGGAAATTGCTCCGTGCGATGCGAAGACTTGCTGGGTCTTGGGAATCTTGCTGGTGCGACAAGTAGGGAATGAGGGAATGAACGCATCCCCTTAAAGGAAACCACAATGGATGGTTTTTCTTGGGGTCATTCCTTGCCTGCTCAGCACCAGCAAGGCAGGTGGAAAGCCTAGAAACTGTCCCCAGAAGTTTCCCTGTGGCTTTTTGGTGGTTGGAATCCAGGGAAGGGGGTTCCCACTTCCCTTCTCCCCCTTCCCTTCCGAGAGCTAGCCATCCCCTTTGCATCACAAACAATATCAATGCATGAAACCTGCGTTTCCACCATGGCGTTTCTGTGCTGACTGAAAGGGAAGACCAAAACGGCCCAAACCTCGAGCCGAATTCTACGGGGAACAGGAGAACGGGGAGAAACCGTGAAAGGGGACAGTCCATTTCAAACAAAAATGCATCAACAAGAACGCACAAATACAAGAACGCGATTCCCATGAAGCGACAAACATATATCCATCACAAACCAAACACGCAAAAATGGAAACAAACAATCAATCAACCAATCAATCAATCAAACAATCAACCAACCAACCAACCAATCAATCAATCAAGCAATCAACCAATCCAATCCAATCCAATCAATCGAATCAATCAAATCAATCAAATCAATCCAATCAATCAAATCAATCCATCAATCAAACAGACAAACAAAACAAGCAAACAACGACAAACAAACAAACACACACGCAGACAGCCAGGCAGGCGGACAGACAAACAGACGGACGGACGGACGGACAGACAGACAAACAGACAGACAGACAGCCAGGCACGCACAAAGAGAGAGAGAGAGAGAGATATAGAGAGAGAGAGAGAGAGATAGAGAGAGAGAGCGAGGCAGAGACAGACAGGCAGACGGGCAGAAAGACAGAAAGATAGACAAACAAACAGACAGACAGACAGACAGACAAACAAACAAACAAACAAGCAAACAACAAACAAAAACAACAACAACAATCAAAACAAACAAAACAAACACACAAATAAACAACCAAATCATACCAAACCAAATCACACCAAACCAAATCAATCGAACAAGCAAGCAAGCAAACAAATCTGCAACAACGAAGGATTGCCCAACAACAGAAGAAAACACACATACACACACACATACACATAGCCCGAAAGAAAAGAAACGGCATGGACTGCGTGAGCCCAGGCCTGCGCGGCGGGGCCTCCAACCTCCCCAGTGCGCTGCACCGCAGTGTTGGCCACTCCGAAGCCTTGGGGTTTCGAAGCCCATGGAAAATTAATTCCAAGAGATCAGCTGGACAATGTGTAAGTGCTCCACGGGGGAAGTCATACCGGACGTTAGACTGGCACTTGAGGTGTAAGTTCATCAAAACAGGGGAAGTGATACAGGACAAATTATACTGGCACTTGAGGTGTGTGTTGGGCTAACTGCCTGCCCTGGTGGTTTCTTGGAAACATTCACCTCGAAACCATGATTCCGCATCACTTGCTCGGTACCTTAATACCGTAGTTGGAGGGGGAAACCATCCCGGCCAACTGCTGAATGTTAGGCTACAGCCCATTGGAACAACTACACAAACAGGAGTCAATCCCCCTCAACAAGGACTACGAACCGCCCGCAGCACGCTTTACGCGCCAGCGCAGTTGAGACCAGCGGCGGCTCGTTGAGCACATCAACCCAGCAAGCAAGGAATCGGAAGCGGCCGACCGAAGAACCCACGATCTGACTATACAAAAGTCAAAGTTTGCTTTTTCCCTGCCATTCAGGTTGTTTCTGACTTGGTACACCAAGCACATTTCTTCATTCCATGTCCTATTCAAAGTCCTCTGGTCGACCCTTTGCATGCAACATATTATGTTTAAACCTAAGTTCAGGGACCAACCCACGTCGGCTTATGGCGCCGAGTTGGCGCCGGTGCGGGCGAGGTGCCCAGCTGAGTGGCCGCCTTGGCGATGCCGAAGCCCCACGTGACGCCCTGCTGGCCCAAGGTCACCGCGTCCAAGGCCACTCCTCGAGAGCGAAGTGGCGGGGAGCGAATTGGGGCTTTGGGAGTTAGGCGTGGGCGGAGAGGCTGGGTTTGCGGGGTTTGAGTTTCGAGGCTTGTGGAAGTGTGCAATTGCTCTCTAAACTACATGTGGTTGGGAGGTTTAAGGATTGAAGTCTTTGGGTGGGGTGGAGTACATGCGTCCTCTCCCGGAAATGTTGAAAGTCTGTGCATCCTCTCCCGCATCTTCCTGGCCCATTGCTTCTCTGATAATACAAAGGGACTGCCAAATACAGCCAACGATGCCTGAGTTCACTGGTAATACTGAAGTACTGTCCATTGCTCAGAAGAGTAACCGGGAGAATGCAAAGCAGTGTGAAAGCTCGTCAGCCACTGCGATTGGGGGCCATTGCTCTCTTACTCTGGGCAAACTACTATAATATACGATTCCCCAACTGGAAATAAGGCACCCCCCCTTGTAAAAGACTGTCATGGGCTAAAATCGCTCGTTTTAGTGCCGCTTTAATCAGAACACACATTACGCATCTCTCTACCCGTCCTAGGCCTGATGGCGAGCGTGTTGGCACTTGCGCATCGTCCATCTTCAAGAAAAGTAAAATTGCGTGCTCGCGGGAGAAAGCGGAATCGCGCTCTTGATGCTGTGTCTGTGGTCTGGTGCTGTCATGATCCATGTTTGTTGTTGATTTCTTGTTAGTGCTCCTGCCATACCTGCATTGAGCAGCAATGTAGGCGGCAAAGCTTGAGTAACCACTTCCTGGCGAATCCAGTCCTAAGGATGATATCATGACATGTCTCGACGTATGTTTGAGTCAGATTATTGGATTTGCAGACTGGCTGGAGCAAGCGCGCGGAAAATGCAGTGTCAGGCAAAACACCCTGTCAAGCAATTCAAAGAAAGCAACATCCCAATAACGCGGCAAAACGCCGCTTGATGCCTTGAACATGAGTTCACTTGACCATGCTCCTCCTGTTGATAGGCGCTGGCTGAATGCCGGGTGGGCCCATGACACTGGACACCCGCTTGCGCAGGCACCGCAATCGCACGTACTCTATGGATTGCTTCTAGTCCCTACCAACCCTCCCTGCGCGCCAAAATGAGCCACGTCACGTCGGCGAAGCATCTGTAAATCCCAGAATTCCAACACATGAAAGGGCTCCTTCACTGCATGGGCTCGCCATCGGCCTGTCGCATTTTGGGGACCTCCGTGCGAGACATTTGGTGCCGGGCGAGGGCCCAGGGCCACACAGCCGCCCGCCGCCCAGGTGGACATCTGGGGTAGGTGAAAACTCGAAGCCGGAAATGTCGCTTGGTGGATTTGGCCGAAAAAATGGTTGATTCTTTGCCGTTTGCCGGCAAAAACTTAGAAATGCGACATCGGGAAATGAGACAAGGAACCTGGAAAGCCACCAGTGTCAGGGAAAAAACAACAACCCGGGGGCCAGGGGGGGATCATATTTTGAGAAACACTTTGTCCAAAGCCTGGAATAAGAAGTAGATTTCCAAGTAAAGGATTTACATATATATATATATATACATACATACATACATATATCTATGTATATATCATAGATCGTGTCATCCCGAGTGAGCTCGCTACAAAATAGGCAGAATCAAATGGTTTTCCGCGGTAGTTTCCAGCATGGGCAAAGGTTTCGGCTTCCACAGAAAATGACAGCACAGGTCTTGCGCAGTCGTTCGTGCTTCAGGACACAAACCCAATGCGACCTGAGGATGGCTACACAAAAAGGGATCCAACATCCGATTGCAGCTTTGGCTGGCTTTGCCCGACACAGCCCGACACGGTCGGGCATGAACATGCTGTGTCTTAGCCAAGCCGAAACAAAGGGGGGGGTTGTTGAGACCCCATATATTAAAGAGACTGAAGTGTGGCAAAATACCAACATGCTGATTCCACCATTGTCTGCGGCTTGGAATTCTCCGTTCACCATCAATTGCAGGATTCGAGCCTGGTGTGTGTGTGTGTGTGTGTGTGTGTGTGTGTGTGTGTGTGTGTGTGTGTGTGTGTGTGTGTGTGTGCGTGCGTGCGTGCGTGCGTGCGTGCGTGCGTGCGTGCGTGCGTGCGTGCGTGCGTGCGTGCGTGCGTGCGTGCGTGCGTGCGTGCGTGCGTGCGTGCGTGCGTGCGTGCGTGCGTGTGTGATGGATGAGGATGGCATAAAGCGACATGTGGCCAGGCGACATCTCATTCGACTGCAAACAAACAACACATTGTTGATCTCCGCTGACGACCACGTGAGAGCTTCAGGGCATACCCTAGCGTGATTTGATCGCCTCCCGTTTATGTGGGCAAAGAAGAGCATACGCAAGCCCTGCGGCTCCCTTGTGCATGTAAGCGAGGGGCTAACATATACTGGATTCATCCGCACGCCACTTTGACAAGTCCGAGACGAGGCTCCAAACCCGAAATGACTGGTGCGGCTATGCTGCCCCTGACTATGATTCGGAAAGGCTGGGAGAGCTCAAGATAACCGACACATCGAGTCGCAATCTTAAATCAACTCCCATTGGAAGAAACTCAACAAGGGAAACCTAAAAAAATGCTTTCCCTTCAATCAATCCCAAACAGGCCCTCAAAAGACAACATCCCCGTATTCCCCAGATCGAGTTGAACCCACTGGGCACCCGGGCGAAGTCGCCCAAGGATGGGTCGAAGGTGTGGGCCGATGCGACCAAGCACACCGACTCCGCACCCAGTTTGTACCTGCGTCGGAACCTGTCCGGGCCTGACTCTAAAAGGCACTAAATGCGTGGAAATGGGAGTTCTAGGTTTGTTTAAAGGAAAACCGACTTCTGACGTTCGAAGGCGCTCAAATGATTGACTCCAGTGACTACTTTATGACTTTGAATGGGATTCGTTGTGGCTATTCACAGAATGGGGGTCGACACAAACCCAAATAGCTCGAGTTTGGGCTTCACCCTAGGCGTGCTCCTAAGCCTCTGTCAAAATAAATGTGGCTTCTGGACGAGGAAAACAAAAAGGACCCACTACACAGGGACCTGCTTGTAAAGCATGTGATCTTCGGATGTATCCTTTAAGGAACCCTGATACACATACTCCTACTGTCGTGGTTTGGTCGTTGCTTTGAGGGTCGCAGCAACCAAATTTGGGTGGCTCAGGCGCACGTGGCGTTCTTGGCCAGGCAATAACCTGCAAGGGGCGGCCAAAAGGATCTATGCGTATATAGGGCAACGCCCAATTTGTGGGTTTAGGCAATTGCTCCTGGGCTTTAGTATTCATTACACCAAACAAGAATACATGCCCCGCTGGCAAATTATTTCCATTTGGAGTGTAATGTGCAGACAACACCCTGTCACGTCGGACAGTCGTTTGGTAGTTCTTTTTGTCCAGGCTTGCCTTGAATCGTGATGATACATGCAACAATATGAAAAAAACACGCGACTACATGATTTGTGGAGAGCTGGTTCTGGCGTCATCACCCGAACAGTACGAAGGACATTGCACTTTCGGCAGGGGTGGAATCTAATCTCTCAAGAAACAACATCACAGGCATAAACCTATTTGAAACACCAACCCTGACACTGTGTGAAAGGATGTTAATTGATTCAATTGATGTTAATAACATGGGGGGGTCCAAGGTTTCAACCCTGTTGATTAATAATAAAAAAACAAAACTACAGGTCAATGACGCACACATTTTGGCCCATTGAGCAGTGGCCAAATTCATTGCTGATGACTTTATCAACATAGTTACAAAGGTTTACATACCCCTTTCTTTGATGTCCATGACACCAGGGAGTAGAAGCACTCACCAAAGCAAACAATTCTTGGCCCACATCTGCGGTGCACAACAAAAAACATATGTTCACATCCTGGTCCATAGTCAGCCTCAAAATATGGTTCGGTGTTGAATACAGGGTCTGGACAAAATAAAACAAGTTTACCATCCCTGTTGGTTTCCTTCTTTTCTTGTAATTTAGCACAATCATAAAGACTTTATGGTCTATTGAGCGCCCAACTGACTATACATATTTTTTGCACTGACCCCAGGGACGCCCCAAACCCGAAGCCGATGCCCACATCGCCGGGAACCAGGGCCCGAGCTACGCAGAGAGCAGTGCGCCACCACGCAGCCCTTGGGCTTGCCGGTGGACCTGCCAGAAAAGTCTGGGCGTTGACGCATGCCCATTTGGGACGGTCTTTTCTTGAGCATACCCCGATGTGCGGTAAGTTTTAAAGGGAAACCAAAGGACACCCACCATTTTAGTGGGTCCCCCCCAAAACGCAATCCTCTGTCATTGAAGGCAAACTAGAAAGGAAACCAACAAAGAGTTTGAGTCTGCGTTTAAAAAAGGCTCACATCTGCCGTCAAAACTCAGCCATTGGGCGATGCTCACTCGAGATGGCTTTAGACGCAAAGGGCCAAAGCCTTTAAAGGTGTCAAGACATTCAGCTTCCCCAACCTCCAGCTGCATGTTGGTCAATCCGTAAACGTGTATTATTGACGTGTGTATATATATATATGTATATATTGTATATATATATACACGTACATTAATATATATATATAAGCTACCCCTCCCCCCCCCCAGGGACCTACCTTTTGGTTGCCTCTCCAGTGCATGAGTTGCCCGTCTAGTACTGGAAGGAAAGATCTCTCAACTGGGACTAGGACCAAACCAGGACTGGACGATCCATTTCTAATTCTTACATATTCTTACACAAGTTGAACTTCAAGTATAACTTCCTCCGGTTGTCCTTTATACTTTCGACTTATTGCAGTAAACTAGGAGCAACCAAACGCTAGAACTAAGGATCTCTCATCTAGGACCAAACTAGGACTAGACTAGTGCACTCTACTTCTTGTAGTATACGGATGTCAAGTATTACATTCTATTGAAGAAAGTCCTGTGCAATAGTTGGCTTGTTATTTTAAAATCTGTAGTTCATAAGAAACTTCCTTTGTGCTGTCCCTTATGTGTTCATTTATTTCCGCAAGCTAGGACCATACTAGGCCTAGAACAAAAAAATCTCCCAACTAGGACTAGGACCAAACTAGGACTAGACCATCTAACTCTAGTTCTGAAAGTGTTTGCATTTCAAGTACAATGTTGTATTGAACGGAAAATCTTGTGTACCACTTAATTTGACATAGAACAACCAATATCTGTGATAGAATTTAAATCGAGACCTTGACTGGAGTATCTCCTTCTTAAGCTCCATTTAATTTCAAATAGAAATTGGGTCGAACTTGATAGACATATTGAGTAGAATTGATAAGGAAAAATCAAAGGTCCCACACTTGTGTCTTTTAACTAGTCCTAGCACTACCGTGGTCAGAAACCACCGTAAAACACAATTGTTTGTAGCTTTTGTCATACTCATTCACATCTCCACCAACGACCGCTCTCTAAATGTTTATTTGAAAATGAAAAGGAGTTAATTGGGACTCAATATGGAAATAGCTGTTCAGAATCCCCATGCTAATCAAATCTGAAATTTTGAGCTTAAATATATTTCCCAATATAGTCTTACAATTCAATTCAAATAGTCCAGGCCTGTATTTAACATTCAAGCTTAAATATTCTCTAGACAAGTCTCTTTGCAAACCCGAATCCAGGCCCGAGTGAAACCGAGTGAAATTTCAGTCTGGATTCCAAATCCCCCGGAAAGGTTGGCCTACAATCTTGAATGGGGGCCTAGATTGGAATAGTTCGAATGAATAATCAGAACTTGGACGCTTGCACAACGCTGTGCCAAATCACAGCTGCCAAAATGCAATGTTGAATTTGGGTCTCGATTTAAACCGGTTTAAACCGATTTAGGCTTAAATCGGGCCTGGATCCAAGATTCAGGCCCGATTCAAGATTCAAGAATCCAGGCCAAACTCTTCCAGGAAATCTTGAATCCAGGCCTCGAGTGAAACCGATTCAAGCCGATTTAAACTTAAATTAGGCACGGATTGAAGATTCAAGATTCAAGAATCCAGGCAACACCTTCCCAGGGAATCTTGAATCTTGAGGCCCGATTAACGTTTAAGTCGGTTTAAATTGTTTTAACTCGAGGCCTGGATTCAAGATGCCCTGGAACAGTTTTGTCTGGATTCTGGAATCTTGAATCCTTGCCCGATTTAAATTCAAGTTGGTTTAAATCGGTTTAAATCGAGCCCGAAGCTTCCAGAATGGCTTGGACATGCGTCTTTTTCATTGCTCTTCCCAGAGCCCAAAAAAGGATTGCAAATGCCAGTGAATTCTTCAAAAAGGTAGGTCCCGGGGGGGGACCATATTATACATATACTATATTATACATATATTCATATGAAAATATGAGAACATATATATATATACATATATATATATATAGTCAATCAGATTCCGACCCCTGCTGCCTTGTCAAATTAAGTAGCAACTCCTTTACCCTCTTGACACACTGGCTGCATGCACTTTCCCCGCCCTGAGGTGAAGAAGACGTGTGAGATCGCGTCGCCCGCGATGGCAGGTGCCTGGACAGAGGAGAAAAACGGTTGAGCAGCGGTTCACTGGCAAATGGCTTCCAAAGGCTTGGGACCTTTCGCCTGTGCAAACAGTTTAGGTGTTTCCCCATTGTTCCCGCAAAAACAGGTTGAGGATCCAATCAAATAGCAGTCAGGGTGGAAAAAGAAAACATGTCTGTTGATTGTTTTACAGGGAAGCTGAACAAAGGGCAAGGGATTCCACTGGACAACAAGAAAGAAGACCTACAACGTCTTACAGTGGAAGGACAATGGATCGTTAACCTGGAAGCATGGTTGCTCCAACAGCACTAGATGGAGCAAGCAACGATGACTTCCAACCAGAAGTGCTGATCAATCACCTTGCTTGAACATCGGTAAGTGTTGGACTCCTTGAGGCTTCCGGGAATCCTCCCGGAGGCGAAGTCCCCAACCTTGGCCCGCCTCAACAAGCATGTATCGTTGTGGTTCAGACTTAGTCGCCCCCCCCCCAAAAAAAAAGCAAAAGATTTGGAGGAGACCCTAGCAACCCAGCGGACCTAGAGCCGTTTTTCATCGCCGCAGCACCACGCCGCGCACTTCGCGCAAGCGCTCCAAGCCGGCGCAAGCAGCAGGAACACGGGCGGCGGCTGCGGCGGCGAGGGATGCCTGGCGGTTGGGTGGCGTAGATGGCACAATTCCCCCATTTTGGTTTAGCCATCCCCCTTTCCCACATAAAGGGAACTAACGGATTAAGCCATCTATGTTCACTCTGCATCTTTGTGCGGGCCATAGGAAGTATAAAAACTACAGACTTAGCTGGCTGGTGCATGGAGCCTCCAATTTGCTTGTTTGAGCCCGTGTTTTGCGGTAAACTGGACAACCAACTTCTGTGTTGAACTGGGGGCGAAGTGCATGATGATTGTTAAAATCCATCCTTGGCACCATCCAGTGAACAAAGCAACGCTATTTCCGACCACAGGAAGCCAGCAAATGGTCAAGGTATGTCAAGCTTCTTTTGAGCTTTCCAGACTGCCTATTTGGCACCCAGTGGAAAAAGAGGCCGCCAATTCTATGGGAAAGTATTTGGGGGAACAACACGCCGAAACTAAGAGCTAAACACCCAAACTTATTGATCAAGGTAATAAAAACTGACTAATGCACACAACCAATATGAGCAAATGAAGTTCGAAACCAGGGATCAAAAGGATAAATCGGGCAAGGGTGCTGAGCATCTCAGCAGTCTGGCATGACAACTCACCTCAAATTCGCGCACTGTCCGTTTGCTAATTTTCTTGTCCACTTCCCTGCTTGTTGGACAGAGAGTACTGGGGTCCGTACCCCCGCATTAGCATGAAGCCGTTTTGTTGGGGCCATGAAAATTACTAGCAATCTAAACGGCAAAGACCGGGGGCCCAACAACTTCCTTCGCCTCCAGAATTCTGGTGGGCGTGTCTTAAGTAGCGGGGACCTAAACATGGTGGTCCTGTTTGTTTCCCGAGAAAAAAGAAAACACACAAAAAGGGTATACCCTCAACAAAGAGGCCTTTGAATTTGAAAAGAAAGACACACTCATTCATCGACCCCTTTATCGAGGGTGGTCAATCCGCCCAATGTACCGTAGCCCTCCGCGCAGACCTTGCGGCAGTCCAGCGTGCCAGCACGGCTGCAGGAGTGCCCTCCGGCGCCGGGCGCCGCAAGCGCTCCTTGGGCAAACTGGACAAATCTGGGCTCATTAAACCCTGTACACACATGAAACCCCACAATAAACTAGTTCCCTTAAATTAAGCCCTTGAAGAAGTCACATGATGTTGAGGGGGGGTGGACTCTGCGGGTAGACACAAACACAGGAATTGGTCCCCTTGAAAACACAACAACCGAAGCCTCCGCTCGATCCATTGAAGTGGTTTTTTTTGAGGGGGTGGAGGGGCAGGGGTTGTGGCGGGGGGTGGGGGGGTGGGGTGGTGGTATCTGGGCCCATTAAAGCGATTAAGCAAAATGTCCCTTGGGAAATGGCGGGACACTTTGAGGATGCCACTTCAATATAATGGGCCCAACAAATGCGGGTAGGCATCCTTTGTGGGTGCATCAGCAAAATGCCATACACAGAATGTCAAGGAAACACCACACATTGGGCGTGTCTTTTGACGCGGCGGCTTTTGATGGTAAACCAAAACGAAACAACTCTTTGTGGGGCTCTTTCACTTGGAGACACCCAAATGGGGCCGTTCTTAAATCCGCCGACGCCAGTCGAGCGTGTAGATGGCAGTCCGCAACTTGGCTTTTGGGACTGCTATTTTTTGGGCATGCTGCGCTAGGTGTCCAAAACCTGTACTTGTCCAGTGTTTTTGGGTCTTTCGTGTTAAAAATATGCGTTTCGCCTAGGTCTCTAGGGGGGGGGGTTCCCCCGCACGCGCAGGATCTGCATCTCCAGCATCATCAGGATTGCCTTGTTGCCATGAATGTGTCTCTTTTTTTGCAGCTACTAGTGGTGTTTTGCTGTTTCAAGCGATGTTGGAATTGGCCTGTTAGGGGTTTGGGTGGGGCCAAGTGCAGTGATACTTTGAGGAACTGTTGATATTTGCAAAAATGAGTGTTTTTGCAATTCCCCACCTGTACGGGGCAGCTACTACGAAACATCCCCTGCATTATCGTGTTTTTGGAAGTCTTTTTTTAGGGTATCTGAGGGGGGTTGTTAGTATCGGTATTTGATGGTTGCTTTTTGGAAATATCGAGAAAAAAACTGGTCTTTTGCACTTTTTTGTGGCTAGATTGTGCTTTAGAAAGTATCTGCCAAGGCATCACGACTCATTGCTTTACCATGCCTTGCTGATTTCCTTTTGAAAGAATCAAACGCTGTTTAGCACCCGAATTGGCTACAAGAGCGAAGACAACTTTCAAGGATTAGCCCGCATTCTGGATGGAATACTGGTCCTCCCTGCAAAAGGTATAAGGTCACACCAAAGACCAAATGTTGTGGGGTTCATTGACCTCACACCCTGACCCTAGCTAAAGCTAGCGGCAAATGCATTGGCAAGGTTGAAAACATCAAGGTGTCCCTGACGCTTTTAAACACCAACTGCAGTGCTACTTTGCGGCTCATTCAAGCTACGAGCACCAGTTTCACGAGGGTGAAAGTAGGTGACACAATTCTTTTTGTTGGGCAAGTAAAAGCGATTGCTAAACCACAATCGGGGGTGTTCTTCGTGGCAGACAGCCCAGACTTGCGTAGCAAGCAGCCAGGATCTGCGCGGCAGTGACATCGTTGATGCCCACTTCTGGGTCGGTGCGTACGAAGGTGTCCTCACAAGAAGAGCGCGGGTCAAGCCGCCGCGCCTCTGGCTGCTTGTCTATGCTCTGTCTGACACGCTTGGCAAGTGGTTTTCACCCACAGTTGCATTCAGAACTAGGGACTCCTTGGTTTACAAATTAAAGGGAGCCGACGAGTAGACCCTTGACGTTTAGAGGGATCCCTCATCAGATGATGTTCAATGACAGCATAATGTTTGCTGTGGGCATCATAGTCTCAGTTGTCCACAAAAAGGGAAACATATGTTCGCCAAGTGTTCGCCATGTGTTCGCAATGCGCGGAAAGTGTGAAACCGTCATGTCAACGTCTTTTTGCTGTGGGACTGAACTGATTGCTTTTAGGGGAGCTACATTTGGTTGAATCCTCTTGATCTCTTTCTTGTTAAACTTCCCGGGTGGAAGTCTGTCGACAACCCCTTCACCAACAGGGTTCATTACATTATACACCTGAACATTTCCTTGTCAATGGTGGTTTCCCTTTATTTTGGTGGAGGAAGCCATGTTTCAAATGGGCAAACAAGTTTTTTTAAGGAGCCCTGAGCCAAGTCATACCCGCACGAGAACAAAAACGTTCAATCACGAAACCACCCCGCAAGTTCCTGCAAGACGTCGCCTTCCAGGCGTTCGTCGTCATCGAGCACTGCAAAGGCCTCCACCTCCCTGTTGGCCTCCAGGAACACTGAAGTTCCGGGTTTGCGCGACAGGGAAAACATAGGGAACCTGGAAACACTGAACAACTGCGCCACCAGGAGCTCAGAAGCTTTTGGCTCAAAAAGGTACCTCCAGTGCAGATTTGTGGACTGAGTGTGTTCAAGCCAGAAACGCCATATGGCAAATAGCTAACTGGGCCATCCTCAAATCCCCCGCTAGAAGTTTAATTTTTGGATGAAATGGCAATCCTCACTGAACCTGAGGGAAAGGCTGGGAACCACCAGGCTGAATGGGCTTCCTGAAGTCTCGCATAATGCTGGCTCCCTCTCAGAAACGTCCAATTAAAGCGTTGCTTTCCTTCGACGCAAAAATAGGCAGGCATACGCTGAACTTGAGCATTGCTCTTCGTTTTCAGACTGAGCCTTGATGTCGACGAGCCCAGATTCAACGCAGATCCAAGTAAGGGGGTGCTTGCTCGGAGAAGTGACCCAGATCCCCTCTACTGGGACACCCTCCCCTCTGCTCTGGGACACCCTCTCGTGAATTAGCCAGGGTTTTTTGTTACTGGGTGCTGCGAGGCACATAATTGTCTACTCTCTCTATTAACTTGCTTAACCGGGGGTTTTCGCACGTTCGCTGAAACTAGTCTAAAATCAGTGTGCTTGTCGTCCGCTTCGAGCCATGTTCCATGTTGCTCAGCCTTGGGGGCATGGAAAAACACTTATTGCGGTTTTGGCTCCAATGGAAATTCTGGTCAAATCACTCAGACCAAACACAGGCAGCCATGAACCTGCATAGCTTGTTCAATAGCAAATCTGTCACAGTCCAGTCCCCACAAAAGGCATCGTGTCGTCTCGTTGGAAATTCAGGTCAACAGGCAACAACATGCCCGCACTACTATCCACAGTAGCATGAACCTGGACCTGCGTAGCTTGTTCACCAAACCGGCCCACAGGCCCACAGAGCCCAAAGTCCCACAAGGCATTCTTGATGGACTTTGTGCAGCCATTTGGATTGCGAGTGTAGCGGCGGCTGGCTGCTTGATTGACAAGCAAAAACCCCGCAGGCGCTCTCCATGCCCTGGAATCCACAACTGTTTTTAAAGGGCCCTAGCCATTTGTTTGAGCCTGCAATGAGCTATCGGTATTTGATGGATTTTTCATGATGTTGCCTTTAGATTCTACAAAGCCAGTTCCACCACCGCCCCAACATGTCTTACTTGACTTCTTGGCAAAAAACACCTTTCACTTATCACTTTTCACAGATGACGCGCGCAATAAACCGCCTTTCGAACCCCAGGGCATGGCTTTCTTGATTGACAGGGGCACAGGCGCTGGCGCTTGATTGACGGGAACACGCCACGCCTATGGACGACATGAAACACTGCGCAGGCTCAAGGTAAGCAGCTAAGCAAGGCAAGGAGCAACATATCAACAAACACACATGCGCCGCACCGGCATCATGCACCCGCGCACTTGGGGTCAAGCGGGATGAGGCTGAATGTCCAAAGTACTAAATGTGAAGAATGTAGCAGCGTGTGAGAGCAGCTGGATTGGATCGACCATGGGTCTTGCGACTACGACGGCTGCCGCCGTCAACCAGATCCTTTTGGAGCAGTTCAATCTAATAAAGTGCACAAGGCGATAGACGATTTGGCGACTCTCACCTTGTCAAAGTGGCCCGACGATCCGGAAATCCTGACACACTGGCAGACCGACGGACGCCAGACTTACAATTGAATACGAGCCGACCACGTGACCGCATGAAGAAGGCCCCCTCCGGACGCGTCATTGTGTCGCGTGTCGTGTATTAGATCTTGTCGAAGGCGGTGAGTCCTGTTAGAAATGACATTCCCAACGGTTTGGCTAAGCGGTTCAGCCTGAAAAAATGATCGGGGAGGATCTTCAATCAGCGGCGCCCGCTGAGTGTGGTCCGTGTGCTGGGGTCGGATGTGCCAGGAGCGCGTGCTGAAGACGACCACATGGTCACAAGGGCCGTGCGGAAAAAAACGACCCGAAAGTTCATGACGGTGCTGGTGGACACGCCGTCTGATGCACCGGAAGCGGGCTGAAGCGGGCCGAAACTTGGCTGGGGGCATCCCACCGGAATCCTACCCCACACTGGCCCCACACCACAAACTTGAAGTCATATCAGAATACCTCTGCTACTACTACTGCAGTTTGTGTGTGTGGCGGTGGGACTGGTCAGCTCTCAGCGCTGGCTTCATCAAGACGGGGGACGTGGTGCGCGTGTCCCTATGGGCAATGTCGTGGCGGAGAAGTGCTTGGGAGATGCATCGGTGTCGCTGAGGAGCGAGGGGGGCTACGGGTTAGACCCCCAAAGGTTGAGCGGTGGACGACGTCCTGACTGGTGGGAAGAATCCCTACAAACTTTGAAACGGGTTATCATATGGCACCAATTGACGATTGAACACAATGATTGGTTCATTGGGTCCGGGTCCGAGTCCGGGTGAACAAGAAATATGAGGGGGGGCAGAACTGGTGAGCCGGTTGATCAGGCTTCTGGTTTGTTGGATCATTTGCGCCGTGCGCCTGTCTTGTGTTCAATTCGCAGTCGCAACCAAACAACTTTTCTCTGGACCTATGGGGCTACGGTGTTATTCACTCGCGACTTGCAGTCTCAACTTGCTGCGCCCAGCAACGACGCTGGCATTGCGAGCTGGCGGCTTGCAGCGGCGCATGTGCCCCGGCTTCATTATACGGCTTCGGTCGAGGTGGATATGTGTTCGGAGTTCGGGCGGCGCGCCATGTGAGTCCGTCATTTCATTGCGATCATTGGATGTTCAGCTCCAGGCTAGGTGCACCCCGGTACAATGAAGAAATGTTGGCAAAGCCGCGTCAAAGCCTCCCATTTCCCCCTAGAATGATGGGTCGTGGGAGGGTCGGGTTGGCCAATGATCGACGAGTTGAATAGTGCGTGTTGGACCAGTAGATGAAGTTGGTATGTTCAATTTCAGACACAATCTCAACTGAGATAAGACCCGAACATGCGTAGTGTCTGTCACTGCTTTTGGAATGAGCGACGTGCCGTGTGTGATGTCACTGCAAACTGCAAACTGCATCTCAGTGACACTCAGTGGTTGCAGTGTTCACAAAGTTCAGGATTCACCATTGAACTGAAATTCAAGAACCCTAATCCAAATCCAAATCCGAAACCTAACCGGGCTCCGAACCATTTGTTTTTCTCAGCGGCCCAGTCGTAGCTCTGTGTTCAACCTGTGTCCCAACCCCCTGCCATTTGGACAGGCCTTTGGTATAACTTGGGGTCGCCGTGTCGTGGCTGGTAGAAGAACGTCAGCTTTCTCCTGGGCCGACAAATGCTACAAATCCAGTTTTACAGTTTACAGTGCAGGTGTTTGACCATCAAACCTTGATGCTTGATGTTTGTTAGACATCGCCGGTGTCGGCCCAATACTCGACACAATGGCCCTTGACTCAACTCGACCGATCATAGTCTTCTATTTGCTGTAGGTGATTCAGCGAGTGAACCGAAAGGGTTGATCGGTTGGCCAGAGCCAATGTTGGGATCAGTAGCCTGATGGTTCTTGAGAATTTGAGAATCTAATCTTTCCCAGACCCGGTTGAGAGCCTCAGTGCCACGGAGAACCCATGCGGCTCCTGGCAATCACTGGCAGCAACTATGGCACAATGCATACAAAAGATTATACTCGCGCCACTCATGATGACCCAAACAATGATTACACAATTCAATGTGACTCGACTCGGCTCGACACATGTGCTTTGATTGCACTTGGGAGGCATCATCCCATCAGCTCTGAAACGGCGGCTGCCACAGATGCTGCCGCGGCTGGCCTGGGTGGGTCTGAGATTCCTCAGACGGCGGGATGGGCGGCACGCGTTGCCAACGGCTTGATTGTTGTACGACGTGTGGTAAAAAAAACCAAAACACCCAACGCCGACACACCCGTGTTTTAGTAGATTGCGCAGTGTGATGATTGGTGAGCGTGGTGCTTGCTCATGGGGCCGTAATTAACTTGAAATTAAATTAGCATGCTTAGGGTTTTTTGCATTGTTTGAAGACTTTTCAACGGTGCCACTCACCGCTGACACCACTGACCACTTGTCACTTCCGCTTCAGCCACTCCCACTCCCGCAACTGTTATTGCGCCACTGCGTTTGGGATTTGGATCAGGTCGGACAGTCCGGGTTCATTGGCAAATCATGTGTTCCTGTTCCGGCGCCGCCAGCCTTAGAGAAATGGCCGTACGAGTGTGTGGTGGGTCAGTCAGCACTGCACTTCGATTTAGTTTATTGAAACAAATCATAGCGATATGTTTGATGACACTGACACGCCACTAAAACAATGGGAATCTGAATCTGAATAGGAATTTCCGGGATCGTATTAAATGAATATCGCCATTGTTCCACGTTCAATCCATTGTTCCATGCCTCCCTCACCTCACACAGAATTGCACCCCGATATCATTCCAAGCTCGACTTTGCAAACCTAGACGTGCCGTCACTGTGGCGTGAGTGGCATACCCGCAAGGAGGCATCGGCGTCGAGCGTGCCGGGCGTGCCCGGCAAAGATCTTGGTGGAAGCGCGGAGGCGGACACCATTCTGCATCCCCAAGCCAAGGTGACGGACGCCAGGAGCAGCCGCAGCCGCATAAGACGGAACCTGGGCCTGCTTCGGTGCACCCTGGCTGGCCCGAGCACACCATTCAGGTCAGGTATGCGGCTGATCCTCGCCGCCCGCATTCTCCATCGACTGATCATCGCCGGCGGTCAACGCCAAGGCAGTGGCCTCCTCATCCATGAAGCTCGCAAGCTCTGGAACGTCGCCCTCACTCGCCCCAGTCGCCTGGCAAAGGGGCATCCACCGATCTGGACCGACCCAGCCCCCGCCCAGACCCTGCCGCACGACCCCCGCGTTCTGGTGAACTCCACCACTGTGGGCTCAGCAGCGGAAGCGGCCCTGGATGTGCAGCAGCGTCATCGGACACACACACACACGCACAGACCGGCAAAGAAAAATCGATCCAAATAAGTAGCATTAGGCTTTTTGCAAGACACCAAACGACGCCAAGGCGGATGCGACGGACGAGGACATGAAGGCGTCCACCAAGAAGGAGAAGAAACAGCAGAAGGAGAACAAAGAGACCAAAGAGAAGACACTTTGCTTCACCGACTGATCGGAGTTATCCTTTCTGTTTTGCCATATTGTCCTTAGTCCGTCCGTTTGGATTTTCTGCAGCCCGCGCTGCGTGACTGCGACTGTGACTGTGTTTTCTCGCATTGCTGCAACGCCCGTGCTTGCTTGAGGAAACACAAGTCGGAGCAGGTCAAGGCAGTCGCTGCCACGGCGAAGGCGAAAGGGAAGGCGAAGGCGAAGCCGCAAGTTGGCAAGAAGAGGGGCGCTGACATCTCATCCATGGACTTGCGGTCAATGATGGCGACTATGTCAAATGCCATCATGGGCTGGGTGGCCGGATCGGGGGTCCCTTGCACACCACCCGAACTCAAAAGATGACTGGCCCCAACTGGGAGGAAAATGACACATTTGAGAGTCTTGAGGATTTGTGTGAAAGCCACTCCATTTTTTTGGGGTGGGCTCAGTTGACAACTGGCAACTATAGCCGGATGTTTGACTGAGTTGGTAGTGGCAGCAGTGCTCAAAATTCCAGACCCATTCAGACCTGTCCACCACCTCAAAATACCCATTTGTTTGAGCCATGGGCCATGCTGCAATTACAGCCCTTTGAAGGCTTCGGGGTGACCTGACCAACCATCAGACATGAGCATCTGGAGTGGGAGGCAAAAAAGCAGCGTTTGTGCAGGTGTGCGCGCTGGGCCCTGCCAGATTGTGTGTGTGTGTGTGTGTTTTTTCTCCCCCCGAAATCGTTGAAATCACCTAATGTTCAGCCCTGTTTATCAATAAGCGTTTATGATTATTTGACAGAACTTCATGAACACTTATTTGGTTTTGCCCCTGCACCAGAGGTCCAGCACTTATTTTGAGCCAATTACGGCAACATCAGCAATTTAACAACTCTCCCCGAAGGAAACCAAGAGGGAGCTATACACCCTCAGAGAAGATCAAACAAGGTTTTACTCCTGGGCCTGGAGACTTATTCCTCGAAAGGCCCAGACCGCTGGAAAACCGGTTATCGCGCGCCTGCAGCCAGGCGCAAATCTCATCCACCCGCGTCGGCCAGCCGGAGGTGGGAGTGGTGCCGTGCAGGCGAATCTGGAAGTTGAGTGACAAAACGTGGCTTAAACCCCCGGGGAGTTTCCCTTTCCCTCTGTGACGTCGTGGGTTGGTTGGGCGGTCGGTCGGTCGCTTGCTTGCTTGCTTGGTTCAGGGGTCACTGGATTTCCAACGAAAATGGAGGAAACCCTGCCCGTGAGATTCCCTTTCCCTCTGTGAGCCCGAGCTTATGGTTTTGTTTGGGTTTCTCAGTGCAAATGGCTTCAACACCCCGGTGTCCCAATTGGTGTGAAAGTAAATATAGTCATGCTCAGGGAAATAGAATCCAACTTGCGGACTTGAGTCGCTGGAGGTTGGGCAGGTTCCCCTTTGAAGCAGCGCGTGAACGGACTCAGCCCCTTCTTTGCCGAGGACCTTAGGCATAAAAAGAAGTTGCTAAGAGTTTGTATACGCCCTTGGGCTGGGTTCAAGCTCAATCCCCTCGATCCTGAATCCTCAGGCTAGATGGTAGTGGTTGTCCCAGTAAGGATTCGCCCCCAGTCGAGGGAATGATATTCTCACCAAGATACCATTGGGAAACGGGGCAACTCACAGAAATCCAATGTCACAGGGGGAACACAACAAATATCGGCCATGGCTGTCTTTGTGCCCCCTTGTCTCAAATAGCCAATGGCACATGCCGGTCGGGATCTTGGTTGCAGGAATCCACATCGTGCCAAAATAGTCGGACCCCCAAAACGGCTGTGTCCCTGCCCATTTTTTTGAGACAACTGTAACCTAAGTTCATGGCAAACCAGCGCTGGATAGGACAGGTGCCAGGTTTGCGCCACTTTGCGACCCAACCCGTGGGGCGGAGCCTGAAACAGAAGAGGGACCGCCTTCGACCTTCTCGTTTTTTTTCGAGCTTTGCCATAACACCAAACCGGGGAGAAGAGAACCGAAACCAAGGCAGACCCTTGGGATTGGCACGGCAATCAAGCAAGCCCTGAAGTCTCCATAAGTTCGAGATGATGACACGGAACACAAGGGTCATGAAGACTTCGGGGTACCTCTGGCACGTATTCTCAGTCTACTTACGAACCAATGATTTAAATTCGGACAAGATAGGAACTGGTTCTGTCTCAGTTTTGTTCAGGGTCATGAAGACTCCAGGCGCCGCTTTTCAGTTGGCAAACACTGGATTTTGGTTGGTGACTGGAGACTCCTTGGATTGGAACCCTTCAGCTAAACCATCAGCCGTTTGTTGTTTCCTTCTTCCAACCCTCATCAGTCCTTCTTCCAACCCTTCAGGAAAACCATCAGTTTTTTCCCTTTCCTTTTTCCTCAGTTGGTAGTTGACCTCGAGCCTTGAGCCTCTACAACTTTGGCGCCCTCCCAACGCTGCCTGCCACTGGGCGAGTTGGTCCGTCACCTCTGCGAAGAGGGCCTCTCGAGTCCGAACAAACAAAGAAAGCGAATTGATAGAGTGGCTCAAGAGCGCGTTGCAACAAGCCTGGCTTGCAAAGATATTCGGAGCCAGGTCAACCGAGATGTGACGAGGGCTAAACATGACTTTCTGTGGCACTTCTTTCTCCCTGGACAATGACTATGGCATCGGGAGCCCTGGATTAGCTTCAGTCAATCAAACCACATTTATGGCAGACCGGCGGGTACAACAACAAATAGTTAATCGGATTCAACGGGGGCATGTGTTTGTTCAACCGCATTTTCTCAATTGGGAGGAATTTGCAAAAGTGGCAAGCAGCCTGCAAAACCCAACAAGTCAACGTCCAACAACAAGCCTCCACAGTCCAGTCAGGGCCAAGGGGAAGTAACGCGCCATGAGGTGTCACGCCTGCTGAGTCTGAAGGACGTTGTCATGTGGTCGCGGGGTGTACCGTCTACCGACTCCAAGCAACGGCCAGCATATACTTGAGAACGTACCAAGATAGAATTGTGATTAAGCACAATCCCAGGAAGGCACAACAGGAGCCCTTGAGAGCTATGCCCTGTTCAATACATGCAAATAACTTTCAAACAAATGTAGATACAATACATTCTCAGAATGTACATATTTCTACAGGCCCTGCTCAATATCCTTCAATGACGCGGCACTGTGCATCATGTAACGCTACTGGTTTTCGCTGCACATCCGCAGGTGGACTTTAGGCCGGTCGTGTCACCCCGTCTTTCCTGACTGTGGACTCTTGCAAAGCGGCCCTCGCAAACGGAGCCCTTTTCTGGCCTGTGAATCCGACACCCACCAAAAAGAAGAGGAGGTTCAAGGACCGAAGTGGTGCACAAACGACAAGAGTCAGCCATCCCTTGGTTGTTTGGATGATTGGACCCCCCTTTTGTAGAGGCTGAATGAGAAACCCCTTAAACCAACTAGGTCCTCCAGTAGAGAGGTTGGAATAAGGGTCTATTTTAGTAGGCGAACCCTCCCCAAAAAAGAGTAAAAGGGCACTACTGGGGGACCTAGCGAATTGGAGGGAAGCTGAACCCGGGAGGCCGCGGCCTCATCCAGGCGCCACGTGGAGGAGAGCACCACCCGCGCCCGCGGGAGCTGGGCAAGCGCTTCGGACAACAGCCGCAGCCGGTCCTTCGAGCTGCCGGGGGGGGGGCTCAGGCGGTTGAAAACTGCAGCCAAACCATAAAAAAGGAAAGAACCTGCAAGATTTTTCCAACAAGTCCCAACCAAGAAAAAAAGGGATCTGAAGGGTAGGCCGCGGTGGCCCAACCCTGGCTACCGTTTGCCTCTTTGAATGGGGTTTTCCTGGTGCAAACAATGCTTGCCCAATCCTGCTGTGAGCACGCCGGGACTCACGCACACTGTTTTGAAGAACAGGTGGGGCATCCTTCCTCCCATAAACATGGCTTGTCTAGGAACCTAAAATATCAATTTCCTCTTGGAGCAACCCCTGTCAGGTGCAAGGTTAGTGAAATGAATATGACCGAAAAGTGTGAGAAAGCAGTGGAGAACAGAGCGACTTTGTGAGAAGAATCTGGGGGGAAGTTTCAACTTTTTGGACCTGGACTAAAAGGAGGAAGACGCCTGGCAACTGCAAAAATCACGCTGGATGCCACGATGGCTGGTTGATGGGCTTGTTGACCGGCAGCTTTTGCTACGTGGGAGGTTGTAAACGGTGCCCTGGCGTCAACGTATGGGGCAAGTTTGGTCGATGTGACCAAACATGACACTATCAATCTCAATACAGGTGCCGAGAATTGACAACACCATGAGGTGCGTAAATGAACTCTTCAAGTCAAATGCGGGGACCATAGTGGTTAAACAACAAACAAACACTTCACAAACGTTTCAGCTTCTCCGACGGTTCCAAACGGAAGCATACAACACATTGGAACGATCGATATCGGTCCCCAGCTTTGACACACAGCTCCATGCTAGCACCGTTCCGAAGCTCATTTCAGGCAATCTGGACGCTAGGAACCCCACAAGCCCACCTTCGAGAACCACAGGGCCCAAGTGAGCAAGTACGTGTGAAAATAAAGGTTCAGAGGGATTGGTTTCTTTTTGGTTTCCCTTTAAACCACTCCAGCAAAGCACCGGTGCCCTCAACAAAGCACGCACCCAAGTGTCCAAAAGGTGCGGTGGCGACAACTTGTTGCGAGGCTCTGGTAGGAACACGTCTCCGCCCGGAAGGGCCGGGTGTAGCACCCCATCCACGTCCAAGAACAAGACTTGCGCCATTCCTGGCTGGGGGGCATTGGTTGGGTTTGCGGCTGCCTCCAGCAAATGGGTCTTCTCAAAAAGAGTAAGTCCAGCCTGGGACAAGTTCTGCATTCTCCCCTGGAAATTCACATGTGTTGCCCGAGAAAGGGGTCTCCAAAAAGGAAAGCTCTCCAAGAAGGATGGTTTGGGTTAATCTGCAGGCAAAGCACAGAGAACACGCTGACAAACAAAACAACAGGCTTGCAGCACGCTTCGCAGTGCAACTCGCCACTTGGACATAAGCAATCCATCTCCTGAACCTAAACATGCAGAAGTTGGAGAGGCCCTCATGTGAGAGTGGTGCAAGGTGTATGACAAATCTTCACATGACTGGAACCACTTGACATCGATTGCTACATGTTTGACCTACCTGCTCGAGGGTGCCACTGGAGCTGATATCAGCAATGACAGTCATTACATAGCTACTAGAAATCGTCGGGTGTTCCCACCTCGTTCTCCAGCCCTGCACTGTTTGGACTCGTTGATGTTGTTTTCCAGCTTCACACGTGTTGGTGGTTTCAGCCACCTATATGTCATGGCCCTACCTCGTGCCGGGGGGGGGGGGTCCGCCCGAGACTAAAATGAAGGAGCAACCTGGAACCGACCGTATAAAGAGGAAAACTGGATAGACAATGAGTTCCCCTTCCTGCATCACTGGGACACGTGCATGGAACAGCTGGCAACTGTGATTGAATCATCCCGGGGCGTATTCATCCTGAACCACACGTTACATAACAAGTTCAAATTTTGGCTTCTCTTTCCTCTGGCTCAATCGAACTCGCCGCAAAGCAGAGTGCAAACCAACCCAAGCCCAACCCAAGACAAAAATATCCATCCCAAAACTGGCTCAGTCAGCTTCTCCGAACGCATCACTAAGAAGAAGACACCCCAAATGCGAGCTCGCCGTGAAACTCGGTTGCTTCAAACCGCCGCCATTTCTCACGCGAACGACCCGAACCCAGACGCCTGGCATGCGAAAGCCATGGCGAATGCCGCATCCACTGCATAGTGTGGGCGGCGCCGCGGCGGTCTGTTTCCGTAAAGGTCGCTCCCTTCCTACAGGGTGAAGCTGTTAATGCGTGTTTTAACAATCACACCATGGCCCGGCCTCCTTTAATGAGAAGCAACCTCAGGTTGCTTGAACGCTGCTTGTTGAAACCAGTTATACATGGGTTGGCCCAACCCAGACATTCAGTGCCATGATGCCATCATCCAAGGCGAATCTTCGCATTTGCAGCCTTTTGTCCGTCTAAATGGCCTTCAAGGCAGCTGGAGCCATGAATAGGGAACCCTTTGGTGGACAGATTCAATATCAGCATAACTTCGATATATCTATAATTGACATATTGCTACAACAAATCCCCAGTACAGAACCTTCACGGGTTAGCTTGTCTGGCCGCTCATTAAACTTTTTCGCAGCAGCATTGAAACTTTAAGTCACAAACCCAGGCTCAGCGACCTCTGACGCCACATTCAAATGCGGGATACGCCTTGCATCGCTGTTCGTAGCAAGCCGCGGTCAAAAAAGTAAAAGGACCTGGCACCATTCCCAGTCCCCTGGCTTGTGGAACACTACGTGAGTTCAAATCATGTCGGCGGCAAAGGCCGCCCAGGGCTGCCCGTGGGCGACACTTGAGGTTCCAAGCATGGTGGAAAAACATCTTTGTTATATGATACGAGTATTGGTCATTCCCGTGACTGGATTTCCTTCTACCCAATTTTGCACACCCCTGGTTCCAACCTATATAGTCGCTTCCTTGACCAGACTGTGGTAAGGATATACCGGCGAAGCGAACACGCGGGCAGTTGTTTATTGCCCAGAGGGGCTCAGTTTCAGTTTTGGCTTGGGATTGGATTTGGACGCCACCCCACTCGTCCAAACTGTCCTTTGCGTTTGCGATTGAACAAGAAACAAACACTTTTTGGGAAACACCTGCGCGGGCCGGGCTCCTTCCCCCCAATGGGGGAGTCCCTTTGGTGTTTTTGTTGGACCACGCCTATTTGTATTTAGGTTGTACAATACAGTAGCACCCGAGCTTTTGGGTTAAGATCGCGCGCATAGGCGAGGCTGCATTTTGTATGTTGAGGTCATACCTTCTGGTTGAGGGATGTTGAGAAGGTTAATACCCATTTGTGTGAGACATTCGACCCGAATGTTGGCAACATGGAATGGCAATGATGCCAAAAATACACTCATTTGGAGGTTCCTTGCGGGTTTCGCGTTGAGAATGGTCGGCTGCATTTGCGGAGTTCTCATGGTCACACCATGTTCCCGACACGTGTCCCAGGATCATTGTGGAAAACGTGTTGCATCTTTTAATCAACAATTGTCCCACGCATTGCCCTGGTCTGGTCTTCAGGAAGGCCTTTTTGGCGCCCCGTTTGTGACCTAGACCGAAACAGACCCTCCATTTGCTTTAGTCCCCTGGAAAAAACTACATATTTCCAGTAGTGATAGATTCCCTTTAAAGCCAACCGGGACAAATAACAAAAATATTCTTAACCAAATGGAAGAGACGCACACCTTGTCCCGCCCCGCTCCCAGCCTCTGTGCAGGCGGCCGGACCATCCGCGAAGAGGTGCTCCGCCAGGATCAGCGCTGGTCGTGCCTCAGAGTGGCAACCGCTTGGGGCAGGGAATATGATCTATGTATCTAGTCATATGTATGCAGATATTGATTGAGAATGCTGTTTACAAATGTTTAGATGTGTATATTTAATATACATAATACATAATAGAGGCATACCGTATCCCTTTTGCACCATGGATTCTCTTTAAGCAGGAGGTACTAAGCAGCAAGCAGTATAAGGGGCATCTTTCCTGTGTGGCTAGGGACTATCGGAATGTGGGAATGATTGCTTGTTCAAAGAAGCAAATACGGTTGAATTACACCTCTTCAACCATGGGAGTTGGGGAATATATGAATGGGATTGTTTGCTTGTGGAGTAGGTTGGAACAGTCAAGGGATACTCCTGCAACAGCAAGGAAATACTAGGTGTGGGAATTGTTGCTCGTTGTTAGCAGGGAATATGTCTGAAGGATCCCCATTCCACTCAAAATGGATCCGAATGTGAATGATAACGGTGGGGGTACTCCCGTTTCTTTCGGAGAAGAAAGAGCTTGCTCAAATGGCAAGACCGCATTCGGATCCGGACCTTTTCCAAGGTGGCACGCAATAGCAGCATCATGGGAAGGGGCTCGATCCAGAGTGTCGCAGAGCTTGATCTGTTGGCTGCCCTAGGTTGCACCATCCAGGTGATGCTGAAGAATTGGTCATTGGGAGGGCGGAGACAGATCACAGGGGCCCACAAGCGTGAGGCGTGTGAGCCAGAGTCTAGTGACCCCAAGCAGAAAGGTTGGAAGCCAGCAAGAGAAGGCGGACCCAACGTCACCTCCTTTACAACACAACATGGCTGCGTGTCAAAACTGTTTCCCCTTTTGAGAGAATCTTGAAGGCAAACCAACACCCCAATGACACGTAACCCTGAGATTCGACAATGGATGCACGCAGAAGCCTTGCAACACGCAACACGGTTGTCTTGTTTGGTTTAAGGTAAAACATGACATGATAAATCCACCGAACAAAGAAAAGAGGGGCAAACAAAAACAACATTGACTCGGTTTAAAGGCTCTCGTTCAATCCACCCCAAAGTCTCGAGCCTGGCTCCGTTCAAACTGAGCATCCGCGCGCCCTGCACTTGGTCCTCAGATGCGAGACTCCAGGCGGAACGTTGAGGTGGATCGTCCCGAAGGACCAACGGGCCACCGTTCCCTGAGTTCATACAATTCCTCAAAACTGCAGAAGATCTTCAATTGTTCTCCAAACCTTTGCTTGTGGCTCTTTAGTCGACCCTGACCTGCCCATTCCGTTAATAATTTGTTTCGTGTAGTCGAGCTTGAGGGTTGTGTAATCATTGCAATTCACAGGGAACCGTTTATTGGTCCCCGAGCCTATCATGGAGAGCATTGCGTGGCTTGGACCCAAGACCAACTTTTCTGGGGAAACCGACAACGCCAACAGCGACAATCATGGCGAAACCACAGGCCCTTAGTCACCAAACTCATTGACCTCATTGACTGGTGGTCTACTATGGGTTTAAAGGTTTGTATGGGCCTTACTACAATACAAAACCACTGAACCATCTACCCAAATTGCCTCAAGGGATTTTATGCGTAATTAGGATCTTGACCCTTCCGCAGGCAACGGACAAGTCCCTATTAGCCTAGCATTGATTTCAGAAGAACAAGGATTTTTGTTAGGATCAACTACCGGTCAGCTTGCTTGGTAGCAACCGTACTCACAACCCTCAAAACGACATACCCAAGATCAAAATCCGAACCCGGATCAAATAAATCATAGGTCTAACAAGAATTAAAAACAAACAAACAACTGCCAGAGCTGGGGCTCCTTGCCAGGGCAAGCTCCACATTTGCGAGTCCTGCAGCATCCTCGCGAAGCCGCCGCACGATTGAAAAGCGTTGGGCCATGTTGGTCCTAAAAAACGCGATCCGAAAAGCCAAGAGCAAAGGAGGACGCGTCACAGATCCGAACCGCCCCTTCCAGCAACCTAGCCGGAATTCTGCCAAATTCGCTCATCATAAGGCCTCACTAGGATCTTATTCTGGGAAAGGGGGAGGGAAAGGGGGAGGCGTGCGATTAGGTGTGGGGGGGGAGGGGGATCCTATGAAAACGTTGAAAGCGGTCAGATTACCTGGCTTCAACCCTCAACAAGTCAACAAGTAGTCAATGGGACCCCCCAAAATCGTGGTTTTCCTCTTAGTTTCCCTTTAAAACTACCCAACAAAAAGATACCCTCAAGAAAAGGCAACCGAACGGTCATGTTTATGGGCTGCATGTGCGATGCGTCTTGATCGGAATATCACGCGTGTCCGACTGAATTGGAATAGCACTATGCCCTTCTTGTCAGAAACTTGTCACATGCTCGCCGCGGTCATGCGTCAGCACCATGGGATCTGTTGCGGCGTCTTGCGATGACCCAAAACAGAGACAGCGCGTGGATTCTTAGCTACTTGAGCCATGTCCTAAAACGTGTTATGATTTGCTCAATGTCGTATCACTTTGCTTTTGCCACTTTACATGCGTGGAGTTTTTGCACACGCTACACATGTGGAGGTGTTGCTTGCGCCACCAGCTTCCGTGCGAGGAGATTTTGCTTACGCGCAGCGCAGGTCTATATGACGCGACTCTTACTAAACATGTACACAGTGGTTTTGGACGCTGCTCGATTGGGAATCCCACGAGGTCGTCAACGCTTGCTCGTGATAAAGGCTTTGAAAAGTCAGACCAGGCAACTGAGAGGCCGTACAAGTCGGAACGAGGGAACGTAGCATGTTTGCTGGTACCACCACCAAGTCAGCCCGCTCTTGAGCATGCCCTGGTTGGTCGTTTGCTTCGAAAACCTTTCTGGCCCAACTTCTGGTTGCTTGGCGCTTTGCTATCAATGGTCATGACTCCCCAAATGGACATGTTCAATGGCCAAACAACTGAGGATTCCCCTTGTTGTAAACTGCGACACTTGCCCCGCAGAACATTGGAACATGTTGCATGGGAGGTTCCAAACATAGGTTCTTTCCTCTTGGCATCCTAGTTTCGAAATGGAGTTCTTTTTTAAGAGTTCCAAACGGAATGCGTAGTAAAGGGGGGTGCTTGGGCCCTTGCAGTTTTTTAATCATGCCCCGGGCGAAGTCTCTGACCCTTCTGACGGATCCAGCAAAAGGCAGTTGGTAGGTCTGAGGGCCTTTGTTTTTTAATCGCGGCAGCAACGGACAGATTGCACCCACAATAGGAACATATCACATCTGAACAAACAAAAACTCCTTCTCCAACTGGCTGCTACATATCAACAGAAGGGAAAACAAAATGAACAACACCCTCATTGGTAGGTTCCCCATGAGACAAGCCCTGGTTTACAGTGATCACCCTTGTGTCCTTGGCCACGACTTGGTCAGGAGCACCTAGGCAACACGGACTCGTCCGAGTTGGGTAAACCATGAACAACCAGTAAGTACCTCCCAAAGAGGTAGGTTGAT